CATTTAAAAAATTCTGAAGTAAATCCATCTGAACCTGGGCTTTTATTATTTTTCATTTTACTTAAAGTTTTCCCTGCTTCCTCCAATGTAATAATACCTTCTAACTTTTCTGATTCATTAACATCTAATTTTGGAACATTGCAATGGGATAAAAAATCATTCAAATTAATATCTTCTATATCATCTGAATCATCATATAATTTTTCATAAAAATCTTTAACTGCATTTAAAATTTCATCCTGGTCAGATATTATCTCATTGTTTTGTTTCTGTAACTTAGGAATGATTTTGGAGGTATAATTTCTATTTTCTAAGCCCAAAAAATATTTTGTAGGTTTCTCCCCTTCCTCTATCCATTTTGCCCTTGATCTAATAATATTCCCCTTTGTTTTGTGTAACCTAATTGCTTCAAGTTCCTTTTTCTTATTTTCTAAGTCATTTAAATTAACATTATCTTTATCTTCTAATTCTTGTATAGTTTTTTTCAGACTATCTTCTCTGAGATTTCTTTGTTTTTTTATATAGCTCGAATATGAAATAGATTTCCCCCTTATTTCCATTAAAAGAACTTCTAAAAATAGCTGGTCACTAATAGTCAATTGTAAGTCTATGTCTGAAATAGTAGAGATACTATCTAAATTATAAACTGGCAAACAGTATTGAGTTTTTATTTCGTTAATAAGAGATTTTATTATATTAAGATATTCCATATCCTGTAACAAAGAATTGTTAAGTTTCCATAGCCCCCTCCCTCTCTTAAACTTATTAAATTCTATCTGAATTTTAGGAAAAGAGTGATCAGATTTATATCCTGGGTCTATTGAAGAGTTTTTAACACTAGAAAGCATATCATCAGAAATTAAGAAAAAATCTAGCCTGGCTTGCTTAACTGGGTTGCTCTTTCTCCATGTATACCTTCTACTGTCCTCATGTTGTTCTCGAAATATATCAATAAGACCAAAGTTTTCTACAATTTCACATACCTTTTCTCTAGCTTTAGGATTATTTATGTTTTTATAGTTATTGTCATAATCAATCTCAGGATTCAGAACTAAATTAAAGTCTCCACATATCACAACAGAACTGTTTTCGAAATCATCAATAGTCTCAGAAATAATATTGTAAAAACCAGGACTATCCTGATTTGGACCATATATAGTAATAAGAGTCATTCTTGATCCTTCAATTGTAATATCTAGAGCCAAAAAATTACCAGTATTATCCTTCTTTTCTTTGTGAACTTTAAACTCAAAATTATTATTAATACATATAGCTACCCCTCTGGCGTTAGATTTATAAGAGTTAAAAAAACATTCATAACCCCACTCACTTCTTAAAAGACTTTCTTTATCCTGAGTAAAATGCGTGTCCTGAAGACAAAAAATATTATACGATTGATTCTTAAGATAAGAGAAAACATCTTTTCGTTTAAATCTATCAGATAAACCATGACAGTTAGCACTCAGAATCGTTATGTTATTAGAAGCCAACAATTGCCTAACAGTCTAAACAGCATCATCACAGGGGTTCGTGACAAATGATATAATAAATGAGATGGGTCACTTATACATGTGTTCCATCTCATGTATATCACATCATCTGTAACGATCCCCTGTGACGTATTAACCAAACATGCAAGGCCTGTCATATATAGAGAAGAAAACAGAACGTAAAACATGCAAACAAAAAGAAGAAACATAAAAGATAGTATATATGGTCTCAGTCGTAGACAACTGTTAACTTACGTGCCAAAGAGACACTTCGACAAACAATAATTATCTGCTCAATGCAAAGCACACATTGCACAAGAGGCAAACCGGATGTAAAAAAAATAAATAAACCCGGAAGTTTGCCACAAATATAAGCAAAGCCGGACTAACATTCCGGAAAAAAAGATAATTACCTAGTGTTTTTTTACAATGTTATAAGGAAACAAAAATGAAATAAATAGACCAGATATGATTACCGCTGAAACAGTTAGAGTTACTCAAGTTGCGCAACGTCAAAAAAAATGTACTGTACAACTTAGGTACATCAGAGATCTAGACGTATATATTATGTAACTTATGATATATATGTCTCTGGGTACACGAAGATTTGGCAACAAAAAGCCATTGAAGCACAACAAGCTTACCTGTATATATGCAGAAATAGGTATCTCCTCGCCACACGACTTACATCCCATGTATTGTAATGAAACTCATACTCGGAAAGCAACAAAACTACACGTATTTTGATCGAAAACCACTCAAAACATATCACAAATCGGTAACCGGGGCACTTCCCCGGAGAAGTTCGTTACCGATATATATTGTCAAAAATCCATTCAAACTCGTCGAAAGTTTCCATCTTTCAACAGATAAGCGTCATTTAATGGAGTGTCATCGAACAGTCTGCGTTTCCTTCCGTCCTTAAGAATAACGAACAGTTTTCCGTCGATGCTGTATGAGTTCTTAACACAGTCAAGTCGATAGGCTTCCTTGAGGCGATCCTGGTTTCGTTTAGTAAGATCCTCAAAGATCGTGATCCCAGTACCTTTCAATTCTCTTCTCTCCTTTAGAACTTCGTGCTTCTTTGTTCGATGGGTGAACTTAACAATAATGTTTCTCTTTTTACCTTTGACGTACTTTCCAAGTCTGTGGGCGATGTCTATATCTTCCCCACGGAGTGCTACCTTTAACTTGGAATTAACGAACCTGGTCACCTTTTCCTTACACTCTTCCACTGTCTCTTTCTCTGTTGGATCCTCTAAACCAAAAATCCGGATAGAATTCTTTCGCCCATGCTGTTCTAGGTCATTAAATTTACTGTTCGTTTCTCTTTGTGAATCCTGTAGTTCCGCACAAAGGTTTTCAAGGTTTCCAACAGTTTCCCTAAGTACGTCATTCTCCTTCTCCAAATCGTACATTCTCCCTTCATAAGAATCAATCAACTCACGGTTCTCATTCCGGATGTCATCCTTTAACTTAACAAATTTTTCCTCCATCTTGTCCGTGATCCGTTGAATCTTTTTGTCCATTTCAGTTTTTGTCACGATATTGGAAAGCATCACAGTAATTTCCTCTAACCTTTCCTCAGTCGTTTTAACGACATTTGCACTGCTGCTCCTAACTCCCGGTTTACCCATGGCTCAAAAATTAAACAATGTGAGTATACATGTAGCATATAATCCAAGACCTGTACAGGTGTACGTACAAGCGCGTCGTTAACAGTTGTCACACGGTAAGGTCCTAATCCATTGTTTGTTTTCCAAAGCTTTCGAAAGTCACTTTTCAGTACATATATGAAAACAGTTCTTAAATAGTTGAAATCCAAAGAACATAAACCAAACACTGTCCAAAAATCAGGATTGTTGAGGTCTTAAGAGTTCCCAAAAATATGCATATTTCCCGGAGCCAAAATTTGGTTGACATACCAGGTCCGTGTGACCTTGACCTTCCCATGCCCAGCAATTTTATGTTTTGTTAATTATGGAGGTGGGGATGTCAACTGTTTCCAAACTGTGACTCAGCAACTAGGTCCCTAGGTTAGTGGGCAGACCTCAGGGTCAATTCTAATATCATACTTTTGGGGTGGGGATTTCAACCGTTTCAAATATGGTTAATATCCATCTCTTAGTGCCAGAGAAGAAGTTGCTTAAAGCAATATAGCCTAACAACCCTTTTTGGACCCCACCCCTCAGCCCCCTGGGGGGTCAGCCACACCATTTGTACAATTTTTGAATGCCCGCTGAAGTTGTTTATGGTAATATAGCCAAAGGACTATGCATGGTTTGGGCCTTTTTTGGACCCCAAATCCATCAAAATTAAAAATCTCCAATAGAACTTTCAAACGAATGTTTCTTTAATTTTGAATACTTCCCCAGTACTATTATGTAAATATTTATTTCTGTTTTCAATTTTGGCTGCCATGGTAACCAGGTCATATTTGCATAAATTATTGAAATTTGATTATTTAGTCAATTTTTACATGTTTTCACCTAGTTTTTCTCTTTGCTACCATAGAGCGCACTCTTGAACAAACTTTATATTTCTCCTGAAGATGTATTACAGGTGCATACACATTATCCTTTGATCTTAAGTTTGTTAAAGCATGCACTCTATAGTTTCTAGGAGAACAACTATGCAAAATATCTCAATATTCACTGAATATTCAAATTTGTCTAATTTATTCAAATTTATACTTGTTACCATGGCAACAATAATTAGAAATATAGATAAATATTTTCATAGTGGTATTTAGGAAGTATTCAAAATTAAAGAAACAGTCATTTCAAAGTTCATTTAAAGGTTTTGAATTTTGATGCATTTGGGGGCCAAAACAGGCCCAAACCTTCGAACCCGGTGAGCTAAAAACAGATAATTTCTATAAATCTTTAAAAAAGAAATTAATCTTATTAGCAGTAGAATGGGTTGCTTGGTCTACTTGCCAACTGTAAACGTGGAATAATTTCTCAAGAATATGTCTTTCATGGTGTTTTTTCTCTATCCTTTTTCATATTTTGTTGTTAAATATGATCCTATAAATAGCACAATATTGACCTCAACCTTATGATGACCTTGAAATCATCTCACCGTAGTCTCCAAAGCTGTATGTGAGCACAGCCTTCAAGTCATCATTGTCTGTGAGGGAGTCAAGGACATCCTTAGTGGAACGGTACGTATATTTGGACCACGGACGAAACACTAGGCCCATGATGCCAGTTGCCGACAGGAAAGAAGCAAGCCATTTTGGTAAAAATTTCAGCACAAAATATCCCATCAAATAGGATCTGCTTTCCTGTTGAAATATATAAATATAATACAGAAATTATTAAAAGGAAATAACAACAATATAAACATTTAGTAGATTTCGACTAACAGCAATCGAGTAATCAAAATTCATCCAAGAAAACAATGGACAACGGCAGAATTCAACTAGGTGAGCATTAGAATATGGCAGAATTTAAATGAAAGAACAAATACATTCAGCCAAATCTGACTGAGCAAATGAATATGGCAAATTCAACTGAAATACCAATCATTTATCAGCATTGACTATGGTAAAATTCAACAACGGTAGTCCTACAAATTGGCATGCTTACAGTTCTTACACATAATAACAATAACAAGCAAATTCGTAGAATTTATATCCCCCGCTTGCAGGACATATTGTAGGTTAACATTATTGAGGTTAGGTTTAAACATGTGAGTATCGTGCTGTTGAGACATGATGTATAGCTTGAAACTTGAAGAAAAAAAACAACAACCTATACCTCATTGATTATCCGTAAATATGCACAAATCACATCAGTTGGCAAATTTAGCATGAGTTGAATGTGCATAAGGAATTTGGTTGAAACATCGTATCAATATCTACAGCAACAAGTACTAATTGTAATGGGGGACCACCCCCAAACTGCCCCATAGTCGCAAAGATGCATCAGAAAAGAATCGCATTGCCATAGTACACCTACAATGTACATACTAAATTTGAGTGAAATTTCTAAATTGCAACCAATCAGAATCCTCTGTGTAGTTTGCTATGGCAACGGAACGTATGCTATTGAATATGCAGTCCCCTAATACCCATATATACCAATTTTTCATCGAAATCAAACAACATCTAAATTGTGACCAATCAGAAGCCTCCGTGTGGTTGCTATGGTAACGAAACTTATGCAGTTTTATTTGCAGTCCCTTATATACCCCTTTATACCATTTTTCATCAAAATCGAATAATATCTAAATTTCGACCAATCAGAAGCCTCCGTGTGGTTGCTATGGTAACCAAACTAATGTTGTTTTGTTCGCAGTCCCCTAATATCCCTATATATACAAATTTTCTTCAAAATCGAACAAAGTTTGAAGAAAATCGGTTAACATTTGTTACAGTTATAATTGCACAGAAACAAAACCCAGCAGATAATTACATTTTTCGTTATTCAAGGGGCCATAACTCCACCAAATTGGGTCCGCTGAAATTGGACATCAAACTTGGCCGAGCTCTTAAGGCATTTAACCATGTGACCAAGTCTGAAGAAAATCGTTTAACATTTGTTGTAGTTATTGCACGAAAACGAAGCGTGGCAGATAATGATGTTTTTCATTATTAAAGGGGCCATAACTCCACCAAATGGGGTCCGCTGAAAATGGTCAACGAACTTGGTCGAGTCCTTAAGGCATTTAACCTTGTGACCAAGTTTGAAGAAAATCTGTTACCATTTGTTGTAGTTATTATTTGTTGTAGTTATTGCACGGAAACGAAGCGCAGCAGATAATGACATTTTTCATTATTAAAGGGGCCATAACTCCGCCAAATAGGGTCCGCTAAAAGTGGTCAACGGACTTGGCCGAGCTCTTAAGGCATTTTACCTTGTGACCAAATTTGAAGAAAATCAGTTAATATTTGTTGTAGTTATTGCACGGAAACAAAGCGTGACAGACAGACGGACAGACCCATATTAATATCCCCCGTTTCGTTGAAAGCAGGGGATAATTAATATTAATTTGAGGTTCTTATATACCGCTTTATAACAACCTAGTTCGTAGGTCTTCTCAAAGTTGTTCATTTTTTTATCTGTGGTTATATATATATATATAGGGCCTTTGCAACCTGTCAATAACTTTCTCAACTCCCTGGGGAGCATACAGCTGTTGCTGCTATTTTGGTGCTCACAGCTAGCATTCAACAATTCTAACACTGCCCGACCACATATACTCATTTGCAGCTGAGTAGACTGGAACAAGTGGAGTAAAGTATCTTGCTCAATGATACAACACAGTGCCATGACATGACTCGAACCCACAACCCATTCAGTCACAAGCCCGGCGTCCTATCACTATTCCGTCTTTGCGTATTGCAGAGGTATCTTCTCTTGTGAGCAGGTATTGATTGTTACTTCATTGGTTTGTGTGAGAAAATTACGTCGTTTTCTCAATAATTAATGACGTTACTCTCACAAACAAATGACGTAACAATCAATTCCTGCTCACAAGAGAAGATAACTCTGCAATACGCAAAGACGGAACAGACTACCTCCACATGCTTGTATTCATAAAAAAATATTTACCAAGTGATATTTCAAACAAGACAATTTTATTTTTAATTTTACACTTTGAATTAAATATTTCCTTATGAAAGTCCATATACCACAATGAGCAACCAAATTTGGCTGTTGCTTTTTGTTGGTCACAAATATTTGCATTGATAAGGCTTATGACTGATTTTTCTTTACAGCCCCATCCATAACCCCCATAATACTCACTCAATCACATCTACAAACCTTGAGCATGACCATGAATTTTTCAATGGCCTCCTTTTCGTTGGGGAATTCTTTGATGAGCTCCTCTGCAAAAGCCTTGCGCTCATCCTTGATGTTATATTTCTTAACCTTACTTGGATCTCCTAGACAAACCTGTGGTAACAGAGGATAGAATTGCTCGCATGTTAATATTCAAGTTCACGATACAGAATTTTAACGCTTATTACATCATCATAACTGTCAGTAAAATGTTTACACTAGAAAATGTCAATGCTACTTACATTATGGTAACTATAAGTAGAGTATTCAAGTGTATCATAGATAATTTCAACTGTATCTATGACTTCCCAAATGTCAGATAATTTCCGTTTTTTTAGTACAGAATTAACAACTGTATACTGATTATATAGTGGTTTATATACAACTAACACACAGGAAACAGTTAACCTGTTTATTACTCTTGTTAGCAACATATTTACATACAGTAATACATTTGGCGCATCAGGGGCTACGTACTCACTCCAACAATTTTACTACAATATATTTATGCTACTATTTTTTGAACAAGCTAGACTCCGGGGGTATTGAGAGAAGCAGCTAGACTCTGAAAATGTCTCCAGAGAAGCGACTAGACTCTGGTTGTGAACACCCCTAGAGAAGCCACGATGAGAGCAGCTAGACTCCTGTGATACAAGAGAAGCCGCATCCCAGAGAAGCAGCTAGACTCTGAAAATGTCTTCAGAGAAGCACCTACACAGCCCAGAGAAGTGTGCAGCTAGACTCTGAAAATGTCTCCAGAGAAGCGACTAGGCTCTGGTTGTGAACACCCCTAGAGAAGCCATGATGAGAGCAGCTAGACTCCTGTAATACAAGAGAAGCCGCATCCCCACACTAATATAAAACTATGTTGAGATTGGGGGTGAATTCCCCTAGAATTTAAAGCTAGATTAGAACTGAAGCGAAGAAATATAATAACCTACCTGAAGTGAGTAGCCCAAACAACCTAAAAGAGAGCAATAATACCTGCACAGGCAAGTATACATGCATGGTACATGCAAAAATGACATTGCACAAAGATACAATCATGAGAAAAGGAACAGCTGCTAAATACAGGGAAACAACAAAAGATAAGTACTACATTACAATTGGCAGAACTTATATGCATATATGAAACTTGGCATGTAGCTGGGGATGGTGGGTGGGTACACATATACAACCGTAGTTCACTGCAGCCTCCCCAGATGAAGGGGGCTGCTACCCAATTAAGAGACCCCTATAGGGGAGAATATACTGCTCTGTGATTGGTCAATTTCTCATCTACTAATTACCATACCTTCATTAACATATATAACCAAACAGCCCATGCAATGATCATGACTGAATAGGGAAACGTCATGAGTTGGATATAAACTATACAAAACAAATTATATTATTATAACAGCTAAAACAGAAGAGGAGCTGGCTATATCGTTGTATATAAACTATAATTTAATATATTGAATAACAGATATCAAACTCTATTTACAACATCGTAACTGTCAGTTAATAAAGGATTTTAAGGCAGAGAAAATCAGCTGTACTTATGATATCGTAATTGTCGATTAACATCAGAGTATGTAGTAGAGAAATTCAGCTGTACTTACGATATTGTAACTGTCGGTTAATATCAGAGTTTGTAGAAGAGAGTTTCAGCTGTACTTACAACATCGTAACTGTCGGTTAGTATCAGAGTTTGTAGTAGAGAATTTCAGCTGTACTTACAACATCATAACTGTCGGTTAGTATCAGAATTTGTAGTAGAGAATTTCAGCTGTACTTACATCATCGTATCTGTCGGTTAATATCAGAGTTTGTAGGAGAGAATTTCAGCTGTACTTACATCATCGTGTCTGTCGGTTAATATCAGAGTTTGTAGTAGAGAATTTCAGCTGTACTTACAACATCGTAACTGTCGGTTAATATCAGAGTTTGTAGTAGAGAATTTCAGCTGTACTTACGACATCGTAGCTGTCGGTTTATATCAGAGTTTGTAGTAGAGAGTTTCAGCTGTACTTACGACATCGTAACTGTCGGTTAATATCAGAGTTTGTAGTAGAGAATTTCAGCTTTACTCACAACATCGTAACTGTCGGTTAGTATCAGAATTTGTAGTAGGGAATTTCAGCTGTACTTACGACATCGTAACTGTCGGTTAATATCAGAGTTTTCAGTAGAGAATTTCAGCTGTACTTACATCATCGTATCTGTCGGTTAATATCATCAGAGTTTGAAGTAGAGAATTTCAGCTGTACTTACAACATTGTATCTGTCGGTTATTATCAGAGTTTTCAGTAGAGAATTTCAGCTGTACTTACATCATCGTATCTGTCGGTTAATATCAGAATTTGTAGTAGAGAATTTCAGCTGTACTTACAACATCGTACGTACCTGTCAGTTAAGTATCAGAGTTTGTAGTAGAGAATTTCAGCTGTACTTATGACATCATAACTGTCGGTTAATATCAGAGTTTGTAGTAGAGAATTTCAGCTGTACTTACGACATCGTAAATGTCGGACATCCTGGGATACTCCACTTTACCTCCGGTAACCATGTCGATGAGTACCCTGTTGTCGGCTCCCTCATACATCTTACCGATGTAATGTATACCTGTACAAAGTCAGACAGTAGGTAATATATCTGAACATAGTCAAATACTATGTAATACATATGTTCCGATTTATCCAGCCCATCCATTTATATCACAGTCTGGAAGAAATGCCAGTAAGTGAAATTTCACTGCCCATGTCCCTACTTTGAGTTGAATATTATGTGCTGACCCATGGGCATAATGCAGGATAAATAGGATAAATAGGATAAGCGATTTCATATCAGACGTTTGTTAATATCCACATAAAATGGTATCAGTCATTAATTAACTAAGGATCCCCATACCACTGACAAAAACTCTAAACTATGCATTATAAACTTTTTTCTGGCTTGACTTCAGCTTTGATAAATCTTTTTAAAAGAAAGCCATACCTTGCAGGATGTTAATGACAGAATAATAAAGACGAAATAAATAAAATATTATCGACAACCATTTTATAGAGTGTAACAATCAGCGTGGCTAGACCTGGAATTGAACCCTGGACCTCAGATTGTTATAGCATTCCTCTATAACTGATTGAGCTACCTGGTCAATAGAAGTGTCTGGCTACAAATGGGCTACTGCTGTATCCAAAATGACATCAAGGGGAGGTAATTACTGTAGATACGGAAAACTACAGAGCAGTAAGACTGCTAGGACCCTTTAGGTAACATTTGGTTGCATAAATATCCCTCGAAACACAAATTTCCTGTTATTTCATTTTCTCCCAAACGAAACAATGATACATGATTATACAAACTGTATCCGATGCATGTGCAATATATTTTTAATCTTAACTATATAGATGCTAATTAAGTTTGATTTGAACACAAACAGTAACTGAAAACTTATTTGACAAATTTTTGAAAGTGTCTGTTTCTATTGTCAAGCAAAGAGTACAAATGACCAGTATCTAGATTCTAAAACGCTGGAAAAAATTCCAGTAAGTTCAGCTGTCAGAAAATTTGAGATGTATATCCCAAATAGAACTCTAATACTATACGCAGTTAGAGGGATGGATGTTAAGATGGGTCATAATGATGACTCAGCTGCAGTGGCCCCCCTTGTCTGTTGATCAACTTCATTCTGAATAGTAGCAATAATTTCAAGAAGAATGTGAATTCAGTTATACAGATTCAGTTAATTGGGTATATTGTTTAGAGAATTTTCCGACCCTTGTTGAGTTGGTTGCTGTGACCTCTGACTCACCGGTATCAAACTCGTAGCCTTTTTCGTGGAATGTGTGACAACATCCTCCGGCCTGGTCATGCTGCTCTAGTACCAGGACACAATGTCCTGACCGCGACAAAATTGCTGCTGCCCCTAAACCCCCAATCCCACTCCCGATCACAATGTCGTCTATTTGTTCTGGCACCTTGGATAATTTAAACCCTAAAAAGTAAAAACACTATACATCAAAAATATCAAAATAAACTTTTATTGTTAACAAACCATGTTACAAAGTCTGAAATTTAAATTACTGTTAATTTAAATATAAACTTTATTTATTTTACAACACTTATGAAACAAGTTATTTCAGCTTATATTAATCGCTCTTGTTGGCCTGGATCTTGGCGCATGAGGGGGTCTTAGTGTGGGAGGAAACCGGAGTACCCGGAGAAAACCCATGTGGTCAAGCCGGTGACCCCATACCTTTTCACGTCAAAAATTACTCAAATTACTGTTAATTTGAGTAACAGTTTCCAACAAATTGACAGGAAACATTGAAAAGTGCAATTTTAAATGGTCAAAGAAAATGGTAAAATTTTTGACAGAACATCTGACTCATTAAGTATATATATTCCTTTTTTGTTTTTAAAAGGTTTTTCATATCATAAGAGGCTCGAGAGATCTGAAGCGCTCATCTGCTGTCAAGGTCTTTCTTTTAACAAACTTTCTAGCACTATATATCTCAGCAAGCTTCTGGCTAAATATTATCAATTTAAGTCTTTTTAGTCTTTTTTGTTCTTAAGAAGACAGTTCAGTATTTTAACACATGTGACACTTTTGGCTTTGAAAACAGGTAAAGGTCATTCCTTTATTCACAAATCCTTTAATATCACCATATTTCATGCCATTGAATCTTTTAGTTGTTATAGAAGAATGTGTCAGAATGGTCCTTTAAAACAAATCCAACTCCTGTGACCTTGAATATGGATCAATGTAATTTCTTTTTCACACTTAATGGAATTTAATTTCTGCAAGCATATACAGTATATATATCATGACTCTATAGGCATTTTGTTTTCAGAAGAAGAAGCTATTTCAGTGCTTGAAGTAAATCAAGGTTATTTTTCCCCTGTAACATTCAAAGCTATCGATCTTCTGACAGTATATCTTGTTTCATAATTTATGTCTAGGATATATGATTTTCTGTTTATAATCCATTTATTAAACAGTGCAATTAATTATTCATTGTCATATAACGAATGTATAGGTTTTATATACAGTCTGTAACAGGAAAGAGAATATCTAATAGGGTCACACTGGGATTGACCCCGATTCAAACCCAGAACCTCCTAAACGCTAGAAGGATGCTGTAATCAATTGCCCTACCTGGTCAAGGTTTAATCACACGGCCCAGTCCTACTACATTAATTATCAATTATGGACTTTTTTGAGGCAAATATGTGGTTATATAGACCTGGGAAAGCAATATTGACCCAGGCAATGTCAGGTCAGTGTCACTTTTTCAGGTCCATATAGCCACATATTCACTGACGTTAAAAAGTGCAATTGTTATAGTTGATGTGAAGTCATGCTGTTTAATCATCAAATAACATTAAATATAAGAAAATTGTCAAGAAAAAGTACTGCATTTGGGAGGGAGCATTGTGATGTTATAATCGAAGTGTCGTTATAAAGGAATATTGACCTACAGTTTGCAAAAATAAAATGCGGACTGACATGTCAATATCAGTCAAAACACTGACCTGTATGTGGTAAGGATTTAACACTGACCTGTATGTGGTAAGGATTTAACACTGACCTGTATGTGGTTATGATGGTCTGTATGTGGTTATGATTTAACACTGACCTGTATGTATGGGGTTATGATTTAACACTGACCTGTATGTGGTTATGATTTAACACTGACCTGTATGTGGTTATGATTTAACCAAAGAGTACATTTTGTATGCAGGAAAATGTTCCGTCACCTGATATAATTACACATTTTTCGAATTCAGTGTTTGTTTCCAAAGCAATGCCTTATTTTCAAGTCTGGTTTCTAATATTCAAACAGATGGAAGGACAGACAGGGTGAAAATTTCAGGGGTGAATGAGTTAAGCTTGCATTTATAATGAACACTTCTTCCTGCCTACAACTTTTTTTCATAAAAGCATGTTCAATTACATTAGTCAGAAGATTCCCTTGACTGAACCCAATAAATATCGCCCATATCATCAAAATCATACGTGATGGGAAGTGGAGCATGAATAGGAATTTTACTGACGTCTTCACAAAATGTCTTCTCATCAAAAACTTTTAAACTTCTGAACCCATTTATTTCTTTAGACACAGACTGAGTTTTACGTTTAAATAGAATATCATGTTGTGTCTGTCACCAACAAGTTCACAGTTAAAAGGATATATATTTGTATTTGTATTAAATATGGCAGGGGAACTTGTAAATTGTACAGAAGAACAGTTTTTATTTTTCAGACTATTTTATTGTACAAATCTCTTCATCTAAATGTTTATCTTACTGCAATAACAGTTCCCCTGCCATATTTAATACAAATACAAATATATATCCTTTTAACTGTGAACTTGTTGGTGACAAGACACAACATGATATTCTATTTAAGCGTAAAACTCAGTCTGTTTGACCATTTCTTTTTTATTGAATAATAATTATTACATAAATTGGAGAGCACTAACTATTTCATTTTTCATAAGTCAATGTTGAGATCATAATTATAACTTAGCTGGTTATTCAACTGTATTGTTGTAGGTAGAAAAGCAGTTACTATAGAAGAGAAATCAAAATTGAAAAACAACACTGTACTTAAATGAATAATTTAATGATAACTAAATGTCATGCTAGTTTTTATAAAAGCTTTTAGTCCTGAATTAGCTCTATAAAAAAAACATTGTAAAAATAATATGTAAAGAGTCAATATTACATTATGCCCACTGCCTGACTGAGAGTCGCAATAATGGTACTTAATCATCTACTTAATAGTGATGGAAGTTAAGCTTGCCTATGGATTGCATGCACAAACAAGCATTTAGGGATTTGGAGCTGAAAAATATGGAGCAAGTTTTATAAAAATTTAAATATTCTGTATCTGCACCATGACTTTGACCTTCAACATATATATGACCTGACCTTCAAAATGTCTTGAGATATTAATTTATGTCAGGAATACTTTTGTGATATTTCAAATTATCATGAAAGGCACTTGTGGACAAGACAGCTATCTACGTATCATCACATAAAGATTCTGTTTGTAGCTTTTACATTGTATCAAATATCTTGACCTCAAACTTATGACTTTTACATTTAACCCAGCTCCAGATATACTGATGTCAGGAATACTTTGGTTGAACATTTGATCAGCCAAGGATGCAGTGGGTAATTATAAGCCAAACAAACAGACAGTTTTAATGCAAGTTTTGAGAGCATCAGGAGAGATCATACCACACAAATATATGTAACAAATTGAGCAATTACATATCATATATTGTTTGTTGATTTGAAAAATATCACTAATTATTCAAAGTTTTGCATTGATTTAAGTTTTAATATGGCATAAAGATTTGCAAAAATAAGCACATAGTGCTTAAAATTTCAAATATATAAAAATAACTGGAAAACTATAATTGAAATATTTGTTTTATATGATAATTAATAAACTGTTAAATACATATGCAACAATTTGGCTTTAATTATAAAAGCATTCAGGAAAGATGTTGTCTAGAATTGTACACAATTGTAGTCAGTACAGTAGTATTTTAATTTGGTAATTGTTTGTTTAACAGAAATAACTCCTCGTAAAGTTTAACAGAAAATTATTACACTTATTTAAACTTTTAAATACATGTATAATAGTTATGAGTAATTCAATCAATATAATAAACAAATGTATCTTCTCCACATTAAAGTCATTTTGGTCTCTGTGGAGTATAACATATAGATTAGATTATGATTTTGAACATCGTGTCTGCTTAATACTTTCTCAAGTTAATCTGCAATTTTTCCTTGATTATTTTTTTAATTATTTCTTGGGGGAAAAAGTAACAGAAAAGAAACTTTTTCTAATGATTGTTGTGTTAAATAGTTAAACACTTGTAAGTATTATATATATATATATATATATAAATTAAAGAAGTTCCGCCTATACCGAACAGCTGATTTAAAGGTCATGCAGGGTCCACATACGTACTCTGTTTGATCACTCTGTCGCGCACCTGTTTGTCAGTTACGAGATCTCCAACCGGCTTGATATGTGACGCTGAAAACGGATTCTTTCCGGACTTTGGGCCGGTCAACATAACTGACAGTGCATACATGATTACATACAGAAGGAAAACGACCAATATCAGCCACGGACGGCTGATAAAATACTCCAAAAACTCGTACATTCCTATATCCACACTCATGTTGACTACGGGTGGCGTTACTCGTTCCTGTCAGAACTCCGCTCTGTGTACCGGAAGCGAACTCTCTGCGAGCTCTTCTTCTTCGGAGGTGTGTAATTTTAGTTGTAAACAACCTAGGGTAGACGTTTCGGTTTATGTCCTTGGGTAGCCGAATGTCAGCGTACTATGCATGCATATAAATCATGGATCCGGATAAAACGCTTGATAATTTCCGCAAGGATTGGAGAAGTGAACTAGCTAAGAAAACTTCAGGGAAGAAGTCAGTGCCGTTAGACAGTGGTAGCGATTCGTCTGTTGCAACAAGGCAAGGAAAATCACACCCAGATCATGAACTTGAAGGACAGTCATCATTATTGACGTTGGATGACAGACCGGTAGCAGGTTCTTCAACGAATCATGAGAAATTTGAAATCACTAGCCAAACTCTATGCAATAAATGCTCACAAAATCAGAGCAAAAAGACAAAAGAGTCGACTGGAGTTCTGAATTATTTAGGTTCAAATGAAGACACAGAGAGAACTCTTACATATTATCCTTTTAATATTGTACATAACTTATTAAATAAATCAAATCCGTCTAAAGGTTCAGGCAATGATGAAAGGTCTGTGGATAGGATAAAATACAGAGCTGACAAGTGTTGCCTTTGTGGAGGGACTGTGGATGATGTGCGTGGATTGAAGAGATCACTAGCTGTGTCAAAAGACTCAAATAAATATGTTAAAGAAAGAATTGAAGACGTTTTCAAAAGAAAAAGAACTAACAGTGATGACTTTTCAAAGGAATCCCTATTAGATCAGTTTTTATTAGACTTGGTGAGTGCGACAACATTAACTTCAATTGTGACCTAGATAAAAATTGTAAAAGAAGTAGGCCTACTTGTGGATTTACACATAAATAATATGTTGCCATGGTTCTACTCTCCACATTTTACCACCTCAGCTAGGGAGGATTTCTCTCTAGCTTGAATGATAAAGCACTTGCATCAAATTAGTAAACAAGAGGTCTTGGGTTAGATACCTGGAAGAGCCATTAAAGAGATTGACTGTTACGTATACATATACACTGGCATCCACATACAGCTAAATAAGGGACATGGGAAATATTAATAAAAATATTCAAACTTCCTTTCGAAAGCATCACTGTTGCCCCTGGATAAGTTCTTTGCATTAGGGGTGCTCCACTAGAAATAATACTGCTTCCTACAGACTTGGCTAGAGATTTTTTTTTTTAACTTCATCATGAAATATTTGATTGATTATGAATGGTCATAATTTTTACCCACATTCTTTAGTAGTTTCATGTAGTTTGATATGTAGATGTAGGCTTTTCGTGCTTCTTGAGATGCACATGTTAATTTAGGTATTTAAGAGTTCAAAGTATGTTTATAAATTTTGATATAGAAAACTTCAATGTTCAGTGGGTATACGTAATACACCTTAAGCTTCCTGCCAAAAGGAAAGTTTATTTTTGTATTATATGTGTGGTTCAATTTCATAACAGTTAAATTGGTAAATACGTTGTCTAGATATAAATTTGAACTTTCTATAAAATGGGACATAAAATTTAATGTTATAGCTCTTAAGAGGCACAGTAGTCTAGTGGTAGGACACCAGGCTCGTGACCGAAGGGAGGCACGGTAGTCTAGTGTTAGGACACCGGGCTCGTGACCTAAGGGTTGCAGGTTCGAGTCACAGCATGGCAATGTGCTGTATCTTTGAGCAAGATACTTTACTCTGCTTGTTTCAGTCTACTCAGCTTTAAATGAGTATGTTGTTGGGAAGTGCTAGAATTGTAGAATGGTAGCTGTGAGCGCCGAAATGGCAGCACCGGCTGTATATTATAATGCTCCCCAGGGAGTTGAGAAACATATTGGCTGGTTGCAAAGGCCCTATAACCATGGATAATAATTTGATAACCTACGACCTAGGTTGTGATCCTGATAAAGCGGTAGGTATATAAGAACCTTGAATTATTATTATTTTTAGTGACTATGAAATGTTTTCCTTTTTAGAACGAGATTGATGAGATACCGTTCTTTGACATAACTTTACCGAGAGAAGTTGCAGTAAAGATCTTCCAACATCTTGACATAAAAGATTTATGTAGATGTTCTCAGGTAATTTCTTCTGGTACATACAAGTAGATCTCACTTACAAATTTGTTTTAATTCATCATATTGTTAACTGTAAATAAAAGTTAAGGAAATATTACAGTATTGCACTATTACTATAGGGATACACACTACAGGCATCATAAAATTGAAAATAGTTCTTAATTCATTAGAAATATCAACTTGACATCTAAATGGACCTATTCAGTGATTTCTGTACGATTTTTGTTTAGGTAAGCTGTTGGTGCAGAGTTCTATTACAAAGAAATAATAAGCATGCCTGGATTGTAAACTAAGACCAGGAGGGAATATATGTGTGCTTCACATTTTCTTGAACATTTGATCCACAGGCTGGTGGTTTTTTTCAAGATATTTAAAGACAAATTTTACATTGCAACTTCTATAATAAAAATCAATGCATTGACTTCAAAAATAAATTAGACATTTAAACAATTAGATACATTTGTATTGGAAATGAGAAATACAGTCTATTCTGGTCTACGCAAGATACAACGTTGCAAGAATGAGCAAGTGAGTGTGAAAATTACTATTGTAAGATATTTTGTAATGCTGAAAACTTTTCAAAAAATGAAATTATAATATTTTTTTTATATATACCGGTAATTTGTTCTCAAAATATGTCTAAGTCCACAGGACAAGCACAAGTCTAGGACTGAAATATTTCTGTCAAATCACTGTCTATCTATTGCTGGTTATCTCGCAGATGCAAAATTACTCAATATTACTCTTAGTATTTCAAGCTACAAACAATAGAAAACTTGAAACAAAAATCCACGGTCAATGTCATGTTTGATAGCTTGCATATTGTAATATGAGATGGTCTTGATACTACGGAAGACTAAGATTAAGGTGTGATGATTAACACCCTGATGGTGCTAAACGTCCAAATTTTATTATAGATCTTACTTTATACTTTTAGGCGAGTCGCAGTTGGCGAAGTCTAGCTGATGATGAACTCCTGTGGTGTAACCTCTGTCACAGCCTGGGATACGAACAGAACCAGGTGACGAGGGACCGCGGTCAGTGGAAGGCCATTGTTCGGGAAAACATCACAAAAGACAAGCAGATCCTCTCCAATTGGAAGGTGAAGTGATCACTTGCACGTGAACTACACATATACAATTAATTTACCAGAACCCAAATATTTAAGATAAATATATTTCATGTCAAAGTATTTAACACATACAAAATGTACTCATAGCTGTAAACTTGCCGTCATTAAGAAGGAGACTCCCTCATTTTGACCAAAATTTACCAATCTCCTTCGAAACTTCCTTATTCAAGTCCAAACTCAAAATCTACATCCTGTGGTAAAATGATCTCCTAGTTACCTAGTTACTGTAGGGTGTATGTAATGATCATAACAGGTGTGTCTGAATCAAATTGATGCTTTTTGGAGTTATTTTCACACATAAGAACACCTTGTTGATTTGGAAAACTTGCTCAAGCTGTTACCCTCGGCCCTGATCATACTTTGTACAGGTCTTGCACATGTACAGCACCCATAGATAAAGTTTTGCTTTTTTTAACTGTTTCTGAATTGCCACATGATCAATTGTAAAATGTTGTTGGTTTCCATCACAGAATCGTACGGGTAACCAGACATCACTACAGTATGTCCAGGGAGGCATTCTGTGTGCTGTTAACTCACACAACGACACTGTGGTAGCAGGGTAGGTAAAATATAACATTAAAAAGCATGATTGAATTAATATGACAAGATCAGGTGGATGCAGTAGTATACAATTGTTTCATGGTTATTTGGGGAACAGTCAAAACTATCATCCCGAGGTAGGAGGAATCCCTGTGGAACTGTTTGCCCTTGGCCTAGCGGCCTCGGGCAAACAGTTCCCCAGGGCTTCCCCCTACCTCGGGATGATAGTTTTGACTGTTCCCCAAATAGCCATGAAACAATTGTTTTATTACCAAATAAAAATTAGTATCAATGCTGCATGCAATGTTGCCATTGCTTCAACACTGAGTTGCGGTCACCGAAACGCTTGAACGGGGCTCTCGAGGGGGGATTTCTGCGCATCGTATTCGCGCCGGGTAACAGTTCGCTCTGACCGGGAAAACAGTTTTGACTGTTTCACCCCTACAGCCGAAATTTGACAAATACAGCCGAAATTGGACAAAAGGCCAGAAACAGTCAAAAATGACTTATTATAATTTATATAGACTATTGGGTAATAATTTATATTGAGAGAGTGGGTATATATAGTGGGCTCCTTTTTTTTAACTGAAAATTTCCATCAGCATTCTATCCCCTCTGCTAGAAAAAAATCTAAGAAGTAAAATGTGGTGTAAATCTTAGTTAAAGACCTCTTGAAATATTTTACGGTAATGTAGGCCACAGGTTCTTCCCTTTTTACCTATTTGAAACGACAGTAGACTCGCAATTCTTTTTGTGTCGCTTGCAACGCGAGGCGACATATAGGTATTACTTGGTCAGTGTCGTCAAGGTCGGTTGTGTTGTACAAAACAAGGTTTCTGTGTGATAACATGAGTTCCATTGGGTTGACTGAACTCAAACTTCATACATTGTTTTCTTACCAATGTTGCTTGCTTGGGATTACTTTTCAGGTCTGAAGGTCAAAGGTCAAGGTCATCCTTACTATAAATAGAAAATCTGTTTCCATGCAATAACTTGAGTTCCCTTGGGTTGATTGGACTCAAATCTAAACTTCATACAGTGCTTTCTTACCAATGTTGCTTGCTTGGTATTACTTTTCAGGTCTGAAGGTCAAAGATCAAGGTCACTGTTACTATAAATAGAAAATCTGTTTCCATGCGATAACTTGGAGTTTCTTTAAGTTAATCGATCTCAGACTTCATACAGTGCTTACTTACTGAAAGTGCTTGCTTGGGATTGCTTTTCAGGTCCAAAAGTCAAAGATCAAGGTCACCATTACTATAAATAGAAAATCTGTTTCCATGCGATAAGTCCAGTTTCCTACAGCCGATCAATCTCAAAACTTCACATTGACTGCAGGCGATACATCCACGTCTGTGGAATTCTTGTTTTTTAACGAAGAACAATGATCTTGAAAGGCAGGGGCATTAGGTCATTTAACAAATTTAACTTTCAAATATTTCACTGATTAATTTTATAAAATTGTTTAAATTAAGATCGATCATCAGGGGATATGATGTTTGATAAAGCAGGAATATTGTACGTTGTGTAGCTTTGATAGAATCTTTAGGAAGGTTTTGTAATTCTTTCTGCTTACAACATGTGACATCACCAAACACTCTTCCATTTCCTGTGGTGTATAGGTACTCTAATGGGGATGTGAAGATGTGGGACCTTGACCTTGAAGAAAGCTGTACGTTGAAGCCTTCAAATAGGTCCCTGCTCATCAACGAAGGACAGGACGAAGGAATAATCTCTGTTGAGGTGTCACAGCTGGAGGTCACACCAACACTGGCTGTAGCCAGCTACAAACAAGGTACACACATACGTACATTTAAATTATTTAAGATATTTTTATGAAACTTCAAGTGTAACTACATCACCAGTAGAAAGTGTGTAGTGTACTGTAGTAGTTAGGTCACAATTACTTGTATTTCTAGGTTTAAGGTCAAAGAAGCTCACAATATCCAGTGAAAGGTTGTTATGGCTGTTCACTTATAGTCATTGAAAATGTCTTGATGAACCTTGAAATATACTTGCACCACCAACAGTGGATATGTAGCATGCTGTATTTTTTTGACCTTCACCTTCACATCTAGGTCAAATGTCAAGTAAATGCAAAGCAAATATGAGTGTTTGCTAATTTGTAGAAACATGTAAAACAACAAAAGTTAAGACTGAAGTCATATGTAAAAACTAGATTTTAACTCATTCACTACTGAAATTTCATAATGAACTATTCCAACATTTGAATTAGAAGAGTTCAAATGTGACTTCAGGGGTGAATGAGTTAATTTAGGAAACATATATAGAATTTTACTTACCGGCGGGTATCTATTATCTATAAAGTATTGTATAAATATATTAGATCATTCACTTAAATGCTGTTTAATTTTGTAAGTGTCTCAAAGCAGCCAGTTCTTGATTCTCTCTTGCTTATTTCACCAGGCATACCCTTTTCTCATACATAAATGGCATTAACAGCAATATTTTTGCCCTATTTAAGTTTGGCTGTGCTTACCATTATTTGTGGAACCTTGACTTTTCAGTTCTTAGAGTCATATAATACAAAACTTAAAACCAGTCAAATAGATTGTAATTAACAAGCAAATTTAAATTATAAGATGTCACATGTATGTTGTTTTTATATTTGACTGTCTTTGTTGAGCAGGAAACATTGACATTTGGAGGTTAAAGGATGAAAATAACATCAATCCTACATTTACTTTACCACGGGAGGCAAAGCCAAACAAATTCTGTGTCGCCAAGTCATGTGACATGGTAGTTACGGGGAACAGCATGGACGTTAATGTGTACACGTACACAAACAATGGCTTCCATCTCCACAGCATGCTTAACCGGTACTCAGGAAAACAGGTGAGTCGAATAAAACCCAGACTTAGCCGATACTCAGGAAAACAGGTGAGTCGAATAAAACCTACACTTAATCATTGCTCAGGAATACAGGTGAGTCAAATAAAACCCAGACTTAACCGGTACTCAGGAAAACAGGTGAGTCGAATAAAACCCAGACTTAACTGGTACTCAGGAAAACAGGTGAATCGAATAAAACCTACACTTAATCGGTGCTCAGGAAAACAGGTAAGTCGAATAAAACCTACACTTAATCGGTGCTCAGGAAAACAGGTGAGTCGAATCAAACCTACACTTAACCAGTGCTCAGGAAAACAGGTGAGTCAAATAAAACCTACACTTAATTGTCATTGATAATTTCAAGAGTATTAAATAAAGGATTTTGGACACAATTTCTCATAATTTCATATTTTACGGCCATATGATGCAATACTACGTGTAGTCACCGAGACTCCATCTCTCGGTACTCAGATGATGGACAGGCCAGGTGATCATGACAGCCCACCAATATTATTCTATTGGTTGAAAATAGTATTTAGTATTTAGTTCATGCCCAGAATCGCACTGTCCATTGAAACAAATCAGAAATATATAGGAGGTGTAGCTCCTGAACACTAGCTATAGACTAGTGATCCAAAGCTACTCTTTTGACATCACAAGTACCATGTGACCAGTTAGCTCATTAAAATTCTTGCCAGTAAGGAGCTGTCACCTTTAGTTTGATTGCCTATATAAAGGTAACGGGACACATCTGAATGATTGTTGATTGACGATTCAGTAGTTATTGAATTGTATTACAAGTTTTGCTGATTTTTATACAATTGATCATGTTGCTATTCGGGAATCAGTTGTAAAACAAACCTTTGTCTCTGAGTGCTATACAAGACCTGTACAGAGTATGCCCAATGCTGAGGGCAACATGTGCTAGTAAGACGCTAGTTGCTACCTACTGACTCAGTTGAGAAGTTATCTCAAGTAAACCAAAGTGCTTGGTTCGATTCCTAGCGGAGGCATTGAAAAAAAATTACCTCTGCTAAACAATGTTTCACTAAGATTTAGGTAAAATCATCACAAGGTCCCTGATTGGTCAATTTACCATAAAGGTACACATTGTAACAAAACTGTTATACAACCCTGACAGGTGTCCCACCTGAACATGTTGGAGGTCGGAGGTGAGGAGCCCCAGGTATTCATCACCACCCTGCGGGGGGAGCTGTACCTACATCGTCCGGGAGAGACCGCAGAAGAGATGAGGGAGTACACAGACAACCAGGACCAACTCTATACCAGCGGGACCGTCGGCTGTGTTGATGTGAGGGTTGATCCTGCTCTGGTAGCCGTCGGACATGCCACCATCGTAAGTCACATCATTATAAATATTGATACTGTACATATATTACTATACCATCAAATACACTATCTGTTTTGTAAGTATACCCTATGTGACAGGGGTGGTGGGTATAATGGAATTGGGTTTTCTCTCCCACCGTCTGTCTTTAGACATAATCTTGTCTGGACAGCTCTTCTTAAACTTTTTCAGCAGATTATCATGAACCTTCACTGTTGTAATTAACACACTCTAATGATGTGCACCTGTAATTAATATTTTGATCTGCCATTTTTACCCATAGTTATTCCCCTTATTTACAAAAGTTGGCGAGCACAATATTGACTGCATAACTCCGACAGTTTTCAGCCGAATTTCATGAAACTTCACTGATGCAGATCAATACACTCAGAAGTTGTGCACTTGTGATTAATATTTGGATCCAGCTACTTGTAATAGGAGTTTTGCTTAGTATAAAAAAATTCACACTAAAAAATGTTCACACCACTCCTCCGAAAGTACTGTACCAATGTGAATGACCTTTGGTACACAGAACTCCTACATCGAGGGGATGACAATAAGGATGTCCATAAAATAAAATATACATTGGTGTTACCTCCCCTTATACTGGTGTTACCTCCCCTTATGTTGGAGTTACAATGTTGTTTAAAAAAGTTGTTCACACTACTCCTCCAAAACAACTGCACGGATTTGAATGATAATTGTTACATGTGACACTGTCATTGATAGGGTGTGAGTGAAGTATAGAACTTTGAGTTACCTCCCTTATTTATGAAGCTATGCCCTTTTGTTAAGTATATGTTCCTGTTAGAACTACATTATAGATTCCTACAATTAATTGTGCAGGCAGGGGTATAAGTCAGCCATTCTGGCAGCAGTTCTTGTTAAGTTGCTAGTGGGATTTTGGTAAAATATCTATCCTCCCCTTTGATTTTCCTATGAGGTATAGGGAGATGAAAAGGTCAGGTGGTGTCAGTAACCCTTGCAGTCATTTTGCATTAATGAAAACCATTGTGTTCTTAAGATGTGGTTACAACACAATTATTTAACAAAGAATTCATAGGTAGTGAAAAAGCTAAAGTCAAATTGGCTAAAATTTGTAGAGATTTTGCTTGTCGGGTTATAAAATTAAAAATAATAGGGATATTCCCTAGGTGTGTTCTATATTTGATTGTTATATGCAGTCGGTTTTTACCGACAGATGGTCTTGATGGCATGCAGGTTGTTTCTGAGACAAGATCACTGTATGTACTTACAGAACATGTACTTTATTTCAAAACTTCCATTTACAGGGTACTGTGTATGACATAGAAACAGCGAAGGCACTCAGACTATTGACAGGTCACATGCATATCATCACCTGTTTAAATCTGGTAGACAGTCCTCCTTACCAGCTGGTAACAGGAAGTATGGACCGAAGGTAAGTTGATGGGAAGGAGAATGGTTAGACAGTCCTCCTTACCAGCTGGTAACAGGAAGTATGGACCAAAGGTAAGTTAATTGGAAAGAGAATTGCTAGACAGTCCTCCTTACCAGCTGGTAACAGGAAGTATGGACCAAAGGAAAGTTGATGGGAAGGAGAATGGTTAGACAGTCCTCCTTACCAGCTGGTAACAGGAAGTATGGACGGAAGGTTAGTTGACGGGAAGGAGAATGGTTAGACAGTCCTCCTTACCAGCTGGTAACAGGAAGTATGAACTGAAGGTAATTATAAGTTGATGGGAAAGAGAATGACTAAACAGTCCTCCTTACCAGCTGGTAACAGGAAGAATGGACCGAAGGTAAGTTGATGGGAAAGAGAATGGTTAGACAGTCCTCTTTACCAGCTGGTAACAGGAAGTATGGACGGAAGGTTAGTTGACGGGAAAGAGAATGGCTAGACAGTCCTTCTTACCATTCAGTAACAGGAAGACAGTCCTCTTTAATTATCTGGTTGTGTCAGGATTTATATAATTATGCTGTAAGACAAATTGATAAGAAGGAAGATTTCTAAACTACTGGTAGCAAGAAGGCATATTACAATCGGACAGTTTTAAATGATTAACAATTTTACCTGACATAGCCTGGCTGTAGATTACATGTTTAACTTGATACATCCTGGTTGGAAGTTGTGAAGACAGCTAAACCTCTATACAATGCCCCTTGTTTAACTGACACATTGTTTACTGCCAACATATTTCAATGCCTCTTTCCTTTGTTTTATTGATTTCCTTGTGTCCCTCTTGATATATTGCCAAAATTGTATATAACAGCAAAATTTTGCTTGAAAAATGGTTGCAGTATAACAAGGTTATAATGTATTTGACTACCTGAAGCATTCGGTGTATAGGTTGTGAAAGTTTGATCAGATGTATATCCTGGTTGTAGGTAATGTATAGAGGTTACGCAATGAGTGATGGTTGGTTATCATTTTCAAATTGTATAAAGACACAAGGTTTACCGAGGGTCTTTTATAATTTAAAATATTAACTTGCGAGAGTTATATAGATTCACATGATAACCATCATGAGCTTGGGGACATTAGGTCCCACCACATTCTAAAAAACCATTTGTTTCTACAGGGAAAAAAGTATTCCTGTTTTTGACTGGGGAAACAATTGGGCTGAACTATGATGTCGGAACGGAACGGAAGATGACGTCGCAAAGCATTGTTATTTGATATCATAATTAGAAGATGGACGAATAAGATATTGTCCAGGGCGTTAATCACTTGTGGGTAATCAAAAGTGTTTACCAACTCCTAGCAGGTTTACCCAATCAGTCCAGAGTGAAGAAACAAAGTGGTTGTGGGAGAAATATATTTGTAACAGGAGCAGAAAATGTATCGTCAGACTGGGTTCGAACCCGGGACCCTAGAAACTCTAACCAATTGAGCTACCTTGTTACCATTGATCGACCCAGTCCAGGGGCCTGTTCGTTTATGCGGAACAACCGGTTTGACCGTTTATAAATGTAACAATTTTGGGTATAAATCCTGGCGGACCTGCAAATGTGTATGCAGGCCTTGCAAGGCTTTCTCAAGGCTCACCTGAAAGCAGCATCAGATTACTAGGTTCGACCTTATTTAATAAACGAACAACAGTGGTCCGATCGGTTTGACCGTTTAAACAAAAACGGCCCAGGTCTACTACATTCCTACCTCCTTTAACGAACTCTTTGAGCCCGAAAGACACACAAGACCCTTTACCACCTTCTGTGGGTATATTTTGTTGGGCGCCAAATGTAATAGGAGAGGAAAAATGCACGGCCAGACAAGGGTTCGAACCTAAGACCCTCCGAACTCTAGACAGATACTCTAACAAATTGAGGTACCTGGTCACCAGCGATCGACCCAGTCCAGTTCCGCTACATACTTAGCCAAATTTATACCTGTTGTAGGTTGCGGATATTTGATCTGAGGACAGACCAGGCCGCCACTGTATTATCTGGCCATACAAGCTTCATAACGACAGCTCAGATGGACGATTGGAAAGTGGTGTCTGGGGACGACGGGGGGTTTGTGTGCGTGTGGGACCGTCGTATGTCGACCAGGCTGTGGGAATGGCACAACAGGTAAAGTATGCTTCATATAGTTATGTAAGAAGAGATACTTTCTAAATGGTAACCAAAGTCTTAGGCCAAAAAAAGAAATACTTGTGTTTCCGCTATCATCCTCAGAAAAAAATTGGGTAGGTAGGTGGACAATCTTTTTTATTTTGGAAAATATTTGTACTTTGCTTATATAGAGCGTGAGTTTTGACTCTAACAATGCATATCACTAAATGCTAGTAAAAACTTTTGGGCGGGCACCAACATTTAGGGTAGGTAGGGTAAGCAGAAGCATAATTCTTTTTTATTTTGCTTTATCAACCTTCACAACAAATGTCTGACCAATGATTAGATACTATATACAACATTATTTTTGTAGAACCCCTCTTTGGAAACTTAACTTTCATAAATCATTTGCAATAATTTTCTTTTTCTTTTTGTAAATCAGTTCAATTTTGCATTACTTACACATATTTTCCCTTTTGTTAGTTGAAGAGTCACTCCCAGATTTTCATATCCTTTGGATATTTGTCCAGACTTCTTTGAAAATGTCACAGAGTTAAATCTGTAACAAAGAGATCAGGAAAGTGGTCTGTCAAAAGAAATGGTCTATTAATAGAGTGTAACAGGAAAAAAAGGATTGTGTTTCCACCGGGGATCAAACCCGTGATCTGTAGGTTCCTAGTCCGACCCTATAACACTGAACTAAAGGGAAATTCTCTCTAGCACAAAGCTAGATGGCAGGTGGCACAGTGGATAGCGCACTTGCCTTTTACCAAGGTGGCCGGGGTTCGATTCCCAGATTGGATGTGAAAAGGTATGGGTCACCTGCCCGACCACATGTGTTTTTCTCGGAGTACTCTGGTTTCCTCCCACATTAAGACTTCTGCGCACTAACATCCGGGCCAACCAGAGTGATTGATATAAGTTGATATAATTAGTTGCATAATTGTTGTAAAACAAATAAAGTTTATATTTTTAGATGGCAACTGTAATCCTATGTACAATTAAATCTGTCACGATAGTATTAACTACTATATGGGGATAAGAAGAGAGAAAATTGTTTATTATTGAATGTTTCTTGGTCAGATTTGACTAGTTGTATATAACTGTTGTTTCAGTAATTCTGTCTTTGCGTATTGTAGAGTTATCTTCTCTTGGGAGCAGGTATTGATTGTTACGTCATTTGTTTCTGAGAGTAACGTCATCAATTTTTAGAAAACGACGTCATTTTCTCACACGAACCAATGACGTAACAATCAATCCCTGCTCTCAAGAGAAGATAACTCTGCAATACGCAAAGACGGAATAAAAGTCCTTGCAGACAAATTTCAAGCACAATCACAAAAATAAGTGAACATGAAATAAAATTATCTAATTTACTACATATCTTGCGACAGTATTTGTCGACAGAAGGAAAACAATTAGCGAAATGTTCTCGTTTCTTTATTACAATAGTTCTGGGTAGCCTAAATATAACTTAATCATTTTATTCTGATTTACACAATGTTTTGCCTATTTATTATATCTGAAACTATGATGTCATGGCCAAAGTCAGCCATGAAACCTATATTGTTGAATCTAGAGAAATATCTTATGTAAAAACGGTGCTCATGGAGTGTTGTTTACTGAGAAGTAACCTTTGAGAGACCGGTGTCCTAGTTTATATACCTATTATATCCTCTTAATGTGAGTTGAAATACCTTGTTTCATAATTGTTTTAAATTTATGAAATTTTATATTTTTATTTATTTATATTCTCTTAATTCATTCACCCCTGAAGACACATTTGAACCCTTCCAATTTATGGGTTGGAATAGTTCATTACGATATGTCAGGGGTGAATGAGTTAAGGATTCCAGTCCACTGCAGGTAAACACTAGAGAACTCCACTGTTGTTTTTCCTGATAAGAGTAACCTCCCCTTATTTTGTGTTGGTAAAACTGTAGTGGGACTGTGCCAGGATGTGATAATTCAGTTAGTACGAAGGACAGTACATTACTGGAGGTCCAGGGTTCAAATCTTGGTCTGGCCTAGATAATCTTCAAAAGAATACATAGTTAAAAGGTTTTGGAATACAGGTCTACTACAGGAATACTTTAATCTACAGTGTGTTACTCTTTATATGAGTCTCTAGCCTTTGGAAAAAACTGAAATTTGTTTGTTTATTCGTAGACATCCCGTGCGATATTGCCACTTTTACAAGCAGCGTCTGATTGCTGGCAATGTTCCAGGCACAACCAAAAAACTTGGGGATGACCATTTGGCACACAGAAGGTAAGCTATGTTTTCTTGTGATATTATATACACAACTGAGACAAATGTGTTTGTTTGGTCTAGATTTATCAACATCCCATCAGAGCATGGATTTAACTTGTTACCAAAGAATTTACCTTCTATGTACATTTTTTGCTCACATCAAAATCTCATTAATTTTGCCTCCAATGATCTCACTTCCTTATGCCTTTTTGTTCATCAAATGGAATATAAAGGTTAAAGATCTACTTTAACTAAGGCAATAAGTGTGTAGCAAGAGAATTGATAGAAATTTGATATTTTGCATAGATTTTCTATACATGTATTTAATAATTAACATATTTCGAAGAATTATATAATTTGAAGAGGTGACCACAACTTCTCCTAGCTCTCACAGAATTACCTCCCATTTGACCTGTTGTGAATTCTTCTGTCACCCCCTAGGGTATTACAGATATGACATACAGAATAGTCTCTTGTTTTTCCTGTTCAGAATTCTTTTGTCACCCCATCAGGGCATGATTTCTCTGTCACCCACCTAGGGTATGATTTCTCGTGTCACTCCCTTGGGTATGCTTTCTTTGTCATCCCTTACGGTATGATTTCTCTGTCCTCTCCTAGGGTATAATTTCTCTGTCAACCCCCTAGCGTACAATTTCTCTGTCCCTCGGTAGGGTATGATTTCTCTGTCCCTCGGTAGGGTAGGATTTCTCTGTCCCTCGGTAGGGTAGGATTTCTCTGTCACCTCGTAGTGTATGACAAATGTGACACAAAAAGAAACGATGCTATGACGCCTCGGAAACAACCAGACATGATGCCACAATCAGCTCTCGATGGGAGAAGTCATATGCAAATCAGGATAAAAACAGATTTCAACTGCTGGAATCTATTGTTTTCAATGTAGTATTAGAATTGTGGGAGAAAAATAATCATCCTTTAGCTTGAGGGTGTAACAGAGAAATCTCCTTGGAGTGATTATTGGTCGTCTAACCCTCAGGTTATGTTAGATGGTCAAAAATCACCCATCTGGGACGATTCTATTAATCAACTGTGGAACATCATTTCATTTCTCCAATGTTTACCTTAAGTGGGTCATCTTCCCTTCCATAGCCAGGCCAGAGCTCTGCAATTGATGCCTTAGTTATGTATTTAAATCATATGTTAATTGGGTTTGTTGTATTTGACAGGTTTCGGGGCTCTCTGCACGTCTGTGATTTCTCTGCTGATCAGACAACACAGGACCTACCCGAGATCTGCCACTCGACCTATGATGAACCGGAGGCCTACAACTACAACATTAGACTTGCAGTCCCCTACGACAACATCTGAATTTGGACATCCTGGAAGCCTGTTTAATTGGTCCCAAGACATTGTTATCACCTATTATTGCCAATAGATAAGTTATGTCATACCTAGTTAACTGTTAACACCTATTATTGCCAATGGATAAGTTGTGTGGGACCTAGTTAACTGTTAACACCTATTTTTGCCAATGGATAAGTTGTGTAGGACCTAGTTAACTGTTAACACCTATTATTGCCAATGGATAAGTTGTGTCAGACCTTAACTAGGAGTCTTGACGACTTGTTCTCCATCCAGTTATCGGCACTGCCTGAGGGGCGGAGTACCAACTTTGAGAAACTGACTTTGCAGAAAAACTAAATTAGCCTTTTGTTCATATGCTGTGATATTTAACAAGAAGATTTTTCTGAAATGTATTAAAGAGATTTCGAAACTTTTATTAGAACCTTTTTGAGACAGTTTTCATGTGTTGTAGACTTGTAACCTGTTTTTGATCTTATAAAGATTTTGGAATCATTTTTTGAAATGTATTTATTGGCATGTTTGTTTTGACTAGACGTCTTATAACATCTAGCTGGTAGTCAGCAATATGTTGTCGGAAGCATAATTTACTCACTTTTTCATCATAGTTCACCAAACTTGATAAGGCAGAGTGTCGCACATTATCTTATGTCTCATACCATAACTAACGTATATAGCATTGAAGGCCGTTTATCCTTTAGATATGGAAGTTCGCCTAAAAAATTGTCTACAAATTCTCTTTGGTACTATGGTAAAAACATCCTTTAATCCTGGAATATCATACAAGTTAGAAAGATTATCACATTACAGATGTGTATATTGTTCTGTCCCTGTAGTACATGTACCCTCATTGTATTTATCATCTTTTCATCTTTATTATACCCCCCCGCAATGAAGTTAGGAAGCGATTCAGCTTGTCTGTCCGGACAAATTTTTCTCCGGACAACGCCTTCTAAAGCAATGGACCAATTACCACCACCTTATTTTAAGCATCCAGGTATTGTTTTTTCATTCTGACCCATTTTCACAAAGTTATGGCCCTTTGTTAAATTATTCTGAAAATATTTATCCAGACAACTTCTTCTAAAATAATAGACCAGTTTAGTTTTCAGATATGATTAATATCACCTGAAGGTGTGCATCCAGGTATTATGTTTTCATTCTGACCCCATTTTACGTAGTTATGACCCTTAGGCTTCGATGAAAAATCCTTGGCCAGACTACTGGACCAATTTCAACAAAATATTTCAGATATGAAAACTATCACCTGATGTTGTGCATCCAGGTGTTATTTTTTCATTATGATCCTTTTATAAGGAGTTATTGCCCTTTGTTGAAAAATCCTTGTCCAGACAATGCCTCCAAAACTACTGGACCAATTTCAACAAAAGATTTCAGATATGATAACTATCACCTGATGTTGTGCATCCAAGAATTTGTTTTCCAACCCTTTTTATTGGGTTATGGCCCTTTGTTGAAAAACCCTTCTCCTGACATCTTCTCCTAAACTGCTGGGCTGATTTCAAAGAAATTTAACAGATAAAGAAACTGCCCCCTGTTGCTGTGCATCTAAGTAGAATTTTTTCATTGCGACCCTAGCTATTGGATAATGAAGATCTGTTTCAATAATTTTTTAACAGATTACCGATATTAAGTGTATATCCTATTCAAACTTTTATCTCTTTAGAGATTCAGTATCTCTGGGTTCTGTAGAGATTCTGTGTTAAGGATAGTAGCTACCATGCTGTAACATGCACCTTCAAATGAGTTCCATACTGTATTTAACATGTTAATATCATTTTTTTTCCCACTAAATCGACTTGTTTAAAAGGTCCACAAAATTGTATTCATGGTAGAATCTTTAATATGTTATCCTAAGTATTATTATAATACATTTTTTTGTTATTTCAAAAACGATGTCTGAAATTGTTATATTTATACTGCCACATCATTAATCAGATACATATTATGTAATAGTAGTAGGTGGCAGACCAACTTAGAAAGGGTTTGTTACCATGTCCAACTTGTCTGATACATGTGGTTTGGTTTGGTTTGGTTTACTTCCTATTAACAGCTATGGTGTAATTTAAGGACATGTCAGGCTATGGTGGTGAGGGTAAGCCAGAGCACCCGGAGAAAAAAAAACTGACCTGCTGCCAGTACCTGGTGACTGCCCCATGTAGGCCTGCAGCAGCAGCAGCAGGAGATAGATTATATTATCAAGCCATAATATGGCATAGTCAAAATATTCACATTCATTTAAGAATGCAGGGTAATTTTCAGACATTCAAATGAATCTTTGAAATATAATATATAGGTCAATTACAGTGTGCAATGCTTTTTTCAAAGCTATACCATGAAATTATGTAATATGCAATGTGTAAGAAACTGGCAGTACATTTTTTGTATATATATATATATATCCGTCAACAAAAAACTACATCACACATTTCATTAAAAAAATCTTTTAATATTAATATAATTTATACCAATGGAATAAAATAAATATTTGTATTACAATACATGCCTTGGCGTTATTATGGAGTATAATGTTTGATTGTTTAAAGTTCTAAACACCTGTTCTAAACACCTGGTATGCACACATGTACACATCCTCACAAACTACCGTAAAAGTAAATTTCATCCTACCCACACCCACACACACCCACACTTCTTCACACACTAACCAGCTCCTTCCTGGACACTTTCATTTCAATCAATAAACTAAGAAATGCAGACTTATTTCATTTTCTGTGAAAATATAATTTTTCCACATTTCTCATCTTCAATTTTTATGTCTATCAATGGGTAAATCTTACCGGAATATCTGGTAATATATATTGTGTATACATTCCATCTGTTTTTATTCCCTTTCATTTGTCGTTTCTACTGAATGTCTTGTTTCATTTTTACAAAGTGTATGAGATCCCACTTCAATTAACGAGCCGTATAACTTACATGAAACCAACTTTAGGCATGCTGTATAGATACTGACAAATTATCAAATAAGGAAATTCACGAATTGATATTTAGTTTTTCTTTGAAACAATGAATATATCATGATACTTCTCGTTACAATATGTCACAGATATGTAACAGATGGGGGTGGAAAAAGAACGTTATTATCACTTCATTTAAAAAAAAAATAGAGACAGAAGAATTACAGAAAAAGGAAAAGGAAAAAAATAAAGACACTGATTTTGAAGTTATTAGATACCATACTTACACAGTCATACATAACAACACTAACACCATACACGTGAGTCATGATGACATCATACACAAATATAAGTGAAGAACTGTAAAATTTATTTTCTGAATGATAAAAGTTCGAAAATGCTGAAATACTTTTATCATTAGAGAGTAATTTCAATGTGAGTACCTGGGACCTGTTTGTTTATGCGGAACCACCTGTTTGTTTTTAAATGTAATATTTTAGGGTTTAAATCCTGGCAGACCTGCAAAATGTTCATGCAGGCCTTGCAAGGCTTTATCAAGGCTTGTCTGAAAAAAGTATCAGATTACTAGGTCTGACCTCATTTCATAAACAAACAACTCTGGTCCGACTGTTTGGATCGCGATAAACAAAGACGGCCCTGGTGATGTTCAGCCTCAATAATCTAGTCAAGCCTCTTCAATCTTTATTTGAGCCTTGATAATCTGCAGTCAAACCTTGATAATCTGCAGTCAAACCTAGATAATCTGCAGTCAAACCTTGATAGTCAAACCTTGATAATCTGCAGTCAAACCTTGATAATCCAGCGATCACCAGTCTTATATACTTATGTCCTACAATCCAACCGGATTTTTGGGATTATTTCTTTTTCTTTTTTATCTTTATTAAGATCCCTGTCCAACTGCACTGGTTTTCCTATATACAGTAACCTCCCCTTAACTTCCGTTTGGATATAACTGTAGCACAGTTGGGTGAGAACACTTCCGTTGACCAGCTAGCTCAAACGGATAGAGAGATATACTGGTACTGTAGTATGTAAATCTGAAGTCCAGGGTCTAATTTCACTGCTTTTGTTTGCACTCGAAACACTGTTGTTGATTATATTTTATTTATTTCGTCTTAACCCTTTCACCCCTATGTAACTTAAGTAAACTCTACCATGCGTTGGTCTGGATGAGTCCATTTTGGTCTACAGTGTTGAAAGGGTTAAATATCTTTCATAAATGTCCCACAAGGTATGGTTTTTTCTAAGAACTCATATACCAAAGTTATATGCCAGAAACAGCAGTTTCCAACCCTACGTTACAGTTTTGTGCACAGTGGTACGGGGATCCTTAATGCTACCTCTCTATACTAGTTGTTTACATTAATTCCAGACACTTTAAATAGAAGACTACTGGATTGATTTAACTCAATGTTAATTACAGTCCTAACTCTAAAGTTTCTCCTTATTATTTCAATTGTAAAAAAAGCATTTTTCCATTACACTGTACTTTTAAAATGTAATAAAATGGATATAAATGCTTTCTAAAATCTGGCAGCATTAAAAATATATCTACGAATACAAAATGTTTAGATTTGATTTATGGGTGTCGGTAATTTATTCAGCCTAGCAGAGATGTGGCTCAAGTTGGCACATACAAAATGTATATAGATAATATGTATGTACAAGGTACTGGGGTACAAATGTGTTTTACGAAAATACCACCGTATTACAACAATGGACAAGAAAATTGTAGAAATAGAAATATAGATATAAAACAAAAACTATGTAGAATACGGACGGAGGGTGCATTTCATATTATGTACATTAAATACAGAAATTTGATAAAATATTGTTTAAATAATTTTCTTTCTGAAGGTATATAATAAAATAAACATACATGTATAATAATTTGGATGTAAATTTATAATTTTATTACAATTTATATATTTTGTAGTTGGACGGCATGTAACTTCTTTAAGTCACTAAATAAAATGTAAGATTTTTCTACTTTTTCTACTAAAAACTTATTGATGTAAGATTTATTTATGAAATTTATCACAGACAACAAGGATCACAGTCGGAAGAGAAAGAACATGTGATATAAGCATGTCAGCTTCTCAAAGTATATCCATTATAACAGTCCTTAACACAATAATCTTAATCTACACACTACTGTACAATATTGTAACCTAATTTGTATGTACACAGACACTGACAATATTATATATTTCAATCAGATCATTACTCCAGCTAACACAGTTTTATAATTATTATATATATGTATGCATTGCATAATATTACTATAACTGAAAATGACTAAGATCCGTTCTATACCTTTCCTACAAGGAGGTATTTATGTCTTTTTTTTGGTGTTGCAAATATGAATACAGTATATATTTCTAACTTTAATATTCAACACCTAAATACACATTGTAATATCACATTCATGGTAGCACTTCCTTACAAACTTCAATTATTTCCCCTGAAAAATAAACAGACCCTCACAAAGTTCCTTTTCATTCAAGAGTCATATAGGTATTTATCTTGTTGAAGTTCTTTTAAAAAGTGTTTGTCCATTATCAATTACTATAGATCTTGAGTGACAGACCAATAACAATACATTTCAAAACTTAAATCACAGGTAACCATGATTTGATATATGTTTTAAAACTGTAAAATATTTTTGTCAGAAACGTTAACCATAATTGAATATTTGCCAGCTTGGCTAGTTTGATAATAACGTCACAAGGAAATGTATTATTGTGTATATGTGAATGGACCATTTCTCCAGGCTGTATATCTCCTATGTTAGAAGTACTTTAAAATATATATATACGATGTCTTAAACATTTTGGAGCATTCCAAATGACAGGAGCATCTATGAATCATTTCTGTTGTTATAGTTGTTCAGTCAGGAACCTGTATACTTGAAAGATCTCATATACATCCTCCAACGTCCACAGAATCTACAAACACGCAATATCAAATAACTGACTTGTACACAGACAAGGGAGATAATTTTCCACACAAAGGATCCATGGTAGCCTTGGAGACTCAAAACAGCTGAAAGGTCTTGGTTTCCATGACAACAGTTCAATTGTACCATGTCACTTGGGCAGAATCACAGTTACCAATAGAGACTCAAAATGGCTGCAAGGTCATACTTTGTAGGAAAACTGCAACTCTTGGATCCATGGTAACCAAGGAGACTAAAAATGACTTCAAGGTCATAGTTTCTGTGACAAATGCTACCGTGCTGGGTAAGTGTTGTTGAGATTTGAGTAGGCCCTACTTAGCTGTATCAGGTCCTGAAATATACAATTTCAAAAAAAATGTTAAAAAAAATAATTTATATACAATTATGGACTTTTGTGCTGGTGAATATGATGTGATATGAACCTGAAAGAGTGATATTTACTGAGGCGAAGCCGAGGTCAATATTACTCTTTCAGGTTCATATCACATCATATTTACCAGCACAAAAGCCCATAACTGTTTTATTATATGCTTCAACAATAAAAAAAAACAAAACAAAACTAAAGGTTCTGATTTTTGTACGCGAGCCTCCGTGTAAACTTTAGCCACGTTTGAATACAACAGTTCATCATTGTAGCTTTCAAAGGCATTGTCTAGATTATTTTTCTTAAGATAATCATGGAGGACATGCACTGCGTGTCCAATGGCCTTTTAACGTTAACAGCATCTTTATCCTCGGATAGTTTTGGTAATTTTCTGATGTAACGGAGGAGAAACGTTCGCCAGCAGCCATCTTCTAATGTCATCTGACAGATCGCGTTCCAGTCTAACTGCGCATGCGCTACGACAGGTTCCGGGGAATTTCCATACAGGCTATATTTAGAAATCGATATTCACCGGATAACCAGTCTACATGCGTTTTTGAGGACTGGTCACGTGTATAGGATCCGACCAATGTGATTGCGAGAAATGTTCATGCATATAATAATAACATTTGTACACTAGTAATTTTTTGGGCACAAGGAACAATGATCTACACACATAAATGTAAAAGAGATGGTTTATCTGCTCAATGTTCTTGAGTGAGTTCAAATCATCAGGAATATTAGGTTTGAAGTGCATCACTCATCAAATGAAATGGAAATATTACTAAGTGTAAGTAATTATAAGATGACCTTGACTTGATTGGATAGTAAGTGTTCTTTATAACCTGACCTTGACTTTGTTTATAAGTGTAATTTACAACCTGACCTTGACCTGGTTTGTAAGTGTAATTTACAACCTGACCTTGACTTGGCTACTTAGTGTAAGTTATAAACTGACCCTTACCTAGCAATTAAGTGTAATTTATTAATTGACCGTTACTTGATTAATAAGTGTTATCTTTATTAACTAACCTTAGCTTGGTTAGTTAGCGTGTTTTGTAGTTTCGTCATGTCTCCCATCTTCTGTGACATCATATTGCGACTCCTCTCCTGTTGTTCGGTGGCCATGTCGGACTCGAACTCTGCTGCCTTGGTGCGATGTGCCAGGAGGTTGATCATGCGTTCTTGGTGAGGTGTGGGTGATGGGGACCTTCCCATTATCTGTTAACAAAATATTGTCAATGCTGTATATGTCTTGTTTGCTTGTTTGCTGGTGAAACTAATCTATTAATAAAATTTCAGGAATCTCCACCCTCAGATTAGACTAAGTCTGTTGTAAGATGACACAAACTTGAGTGTAAGTGTTTAAAATATTACCAGAAATTTTACATATTTGGTATTTGAAAGCACAAGTGAAGATAGTTTTAACAATTTGCTTTTTGTTCTAGCTTAAACTTCACAGTCAATAATTTGCATAATTTATTTTATTAATTTTTATTACATAAACTTGAAATAAAAGAAAATCAGGTTAGAAACCTTTAGACTTCATCACTGTTCTTAAAATAAAAATATCAAAATAACAATAAAATTGAATTTGATCTGCATTCATGGTCTAGATCTTAGAACAAGCAAATACAAATAAATTGGAATTGAAGTAACTGGTGATTAATCAAAAACACAGATGTTACCCCAAACAGCAGGTGACATAACAAAGTCAGTATTAAAATCATTCTCTGCCAAAATCGTAATACAAGAATAAGTTTTCAAGCAAACATGACAGGTAGTTCACCATGTATTTTCTGACTAAAACAATGGAACTGTTAGGACAGATAAATGTTGTGAGTTAAATGTTAATTTTTCCGAGTCAAAATGAAATTATAGTTAAATTTATAAGTTTCTTTTCAGGATTAATTGAATAATTATCCAATATTATACACACGTGTTAAATATTTGTATAACTTTCTGCTGTTGTACTACCAGGAAGCTTACAAAGGGCAGATCACTATCTCCCACAGGGGAGACAACCCATGAGTTTAATTTGCATACATACATCAAGACATATATACCTACTGTGTCCAGCATGCATCAGCCATATATACATAACACCAGTACCCCAAAAAAACATATGTAAGGTACTAATGCATACTTTATACAACTTTAAAATACTATTCTACATAAAACACAATTAACACCAGTGCACACACCTAAAATTATATAAACACCATGCAGACACATAATTTACACCAGCGCTCTAACCTACAACTACACAATATGTGCATATTTGAACCTCGTACGCATCTTATGACAAAATCACAGACCTTTTATTTGAATTAAGTGGTTGTATTGTGAAACATCTGGACTATCTTCAATGTTATTGAGAAGACAATGTATCCCAAAAAATGAATTTTGAATCAATGCTTTTATGATGGGACAAGCAGAATAATTTGTGGTTACTTGATAAACGTGACTTTACTGTATGTACACAAATCAGGCCTGTTCAGCTATATGTGTATTATATAAGATCCATACAATTATCACTAATACAAGTGTATCACCCATATAAGGCATGGGGAACGCATTATACACGTACACCATTATAGCAACTGCACATGTACACATACAACCAATATAACAATACACACACATACACCATTATAACAACTGCACATACACACATACAACCATTAGGGCAACACACAGGCGGCAGGCATACACTTCCCACAACCCCACCATACTTACTCGGCCCCCTGGCTGTTGATAGTAGGCAGGGTTGCTGAGGTCTGGTACAGAACACGACGCCAGTCGTTCTCCCCGCAGGGAGTTATTTTCTGCGTTTAACTGTGTCACCTGCATCTGCAGGTGTTGTATCATTTTGGATGCGTTAATATCGTCATTAGACAGGTGGTTAGGGGGCGTCTGACCCAACAGGCGCTTTTGCTGCTATACCAAGAGGAAAGAGAAGGAGAGAGAGAAAGAAGCAAACATTAATAAAGGTATACTCATGCAGACAGAACTAACAACTCATGCTCATCCACAAGTGTGCTCAGCTAACGTCTGTATGCGTTTCCGTTTTTGATTTAATACAGAGTAATAATAGAGTTAGTTTAGACATCAAAGTGTTATGTTGTGCAAATTGGCTAAACTCTGAAGATTTTAAATTAGAATAAATTAATTCAAAGAGATTACAGAATTTTGAATACTGATTGATGATGTCACCATCATTTCATACTAGTGTGGTAATTATATATTTGCCAGTAAAACAAAATGAAATACCCAGCATATGATAGTGAGTCGGTGACTACATTTTTATTAACTCATTCACCCCTGAAGACACATTTGAACTCTTCCAATTCAAAGGTTGGTATAGCTCATTATGACATTTCAGGGGTGAAGGAGTTAAACTGTAGACCACTAGTGATATTAACCTGTATCGTTATCCCTGTAATTGACCTCTAACATTAATTGTTAATCATGCAGACAGTATAAGCACATTTGTGAATGTTGTACAACATCAACAAGCAGAGTATATATCTCAACACAGTTATAGTATACCCTGTGTAATATATGTGTACGGTATATGTTTAACATGCATTAAAGCCAAGTTATTCTAGTATTTAATTTTTGGAAGGAAATCAATATTAAACGAAAGTGATTATGCACGTCACTTAATATGTAAAATCAGAAACTGAGTATACCACCTACAGCATGTGAACTGTAGGGTTTTAAAATATACAAGTATACATTTATACTTTTATAAGTATACATTTTTGAGGACCATGTGGTAGATCATAGCCTTTGGCTAAACATGCCGTCCTTGTTAAATAAAGTTTATTATAGTTTATTATCATTGTTATTATTTCATTTAGAATGGTATTTTATCATTCATAAAGAATATTTTGTTTGGATTATTTACTAAAGCGTGCATGCAAATTTCACAGAGAAATGTATATATAGTAATTTGCCAGCATTAAGAATACATGCACTAATCTAACCACCAATAAATCAGTTGGCCCGATTTTTAAATCTTCCTATCAGAGAAATTGCAATTAATATAAGGCACCTATTACTAGAGAAAAAAACTTAATAACCAAAACAAAAAACACGATACATTCACATTGGACTTCTTGTGCACAACAAACATTGTGGCGTTAATAAAGGGCAATGAAAACATGATACATATGTATATATACAAAAACGCACGACAACACCAAGAAATATGTAAACTATTCAAATAGATGAAGGGAGATAACTCTAACATACCATTGCTAATCGTTTAATTTCGCGTTCCAGTCTGTCCACTTCCTGTTGTTGGTGATCACTCCTTGGTTTAAACTCGTACTGGGGCACCTTTGGGGGCTTGCTGTATTGCCTACAAAGTAAAGATCAGGTAAATAATGTTAAAACTATTGTGAGCTTGTGTCTCAACAAATCCTACAACTTTGATCTTTTATAAATTTACCAGTTTTGTCATTGTAATCAAAGAAAAGGTCAACAATAAATTAAAACAAAATTCTTATGATTTTTTTGTTGTCAAAATATATTTCAACATCATGCTCATCTACAATTCTGACGATAGCTTGAAAATAATATTGAACATGTGTTTGTTATACAATTTTAGAATATCAAGTACAGAAAAATCTGAAATAAAACTGAAGGTATACCAGTTAAACTTTTTATAATTCTTACCAGTTTTGAGAATATTGTTCACAAAAAGAGTCACGTACGACAACAACAAAGTAACAATAGCCATGGTTAGGGTACTATAGACTGTATCTAGTCGTCAGAAACACTACCCCGGATATATATATAGTATAGCATGCTCCACTGGTAGAGCTAATCACCATAAAGACAGGATCACACGTTCAAACCTGACACCTTGTTTTTTTAATTGGTTTTCAAATAAAATTGTTTTAAATTGTTGATATGCTTTTCAAAAGTCAACAATTATCTTATAAAACTGATCATTACACTGGTTGATGGCCCAGGTAATATGGAAATTGATGTAATACTACAGATGTACCATTTGTTTGTCATTGAAATCAGAACAGGTTTGAATGTGTGAGTAGAAGGCAAACTACTTGAAGAGCAAATAGAAGAGGGAAATAATAGAAAAGAGGGAATCTACATGTTCATTTGATTGGACTACATTTGTGAGCACAGAAATACTTCAAATTTATTTTACATAAAACTGATGCTGTAAACAAGATAGAATGAGAAAAAATTAATTGAGATTTTAAAATTACACCAATTTTGAGTAATACATGGGAGAAAACACACTGAAGTGCAAAACACCACACCACAAGTGTCTAACACTCAACACTTAGTGTTTACGTTTCATTTTCATTTTCCAACTTTTCGTTTTCTTCCCGTATGTTAAATAAAGCGTCGGTTTGTGATTTCCAAGTATCAAAGTTTTTCTTCAAACTACTGAGTTCTTCGTCCTTTTTGCGTAGCGATCGTAAATGGTTTCTGTCTCTCTCCATGTACATCCTGTTCAACCTGTTCTTCTCCATATCATGCTCCTAGTTAATTAGTAATTAGCAAACACACCGATGCAAAATGACGTCAATCAAAAACAATTAATACCAACAAATATCATCAACAATAAATCAACCTTTTTTTGAGATAAAAAGAAAATATAAATATTGGTTTAACCTTGGCCAAATTGCTCAATTCAATTATTTTAGCTAATATTGAAATTTCTAACTAAAATTGTATGTACAAGATATGAATTCAACATGGTCTTCTGAAAATGAAGGCCATTGATAGAAATATGTATATTTATAAAGATATTATTTTGCTGCCTTTTGTCATTTTTAATTCTGATGAAATTCCAGAGGTTCAAGTATTTTTTTCTCATACCATAATCAAAATAATTTTTCCAGGCCTTTATTCTAAAATTTGAGGTAATAACTAATTTCAAAACTCACTAAACAACTTCGTTTGATTCTTCAAAATCATGTACCGGTAATTAAGGTTTTAACTCAATTACGTGGTAGTATCATTAAACAAATTACAGAATTTGTTTCATTAAATCTATATTTTGTAAATTAATTTTTATGACTGGCTGATTTATTGTTAATAATATCCTAATCAACATTTCATAAATGGATTTGACTTATATTAGTCTGGGTATTAGTAATTCTGTAGCAGACACAAACAAGACACGTGTATCATCTTCTCTATTTATGGGAATAATTTGACTCCATAATCAAGCCACTTAGCAGACAAGCAAATTTTACCTAGAAGAAACTATGATTGGGCTTGACTTGACAAATTAAGCTGTATCCCATTTTGAAATTATTCAAATTACATCTTTAATACGTAACAAGTACAGTAATTGGTTTTCTAGTAGAACATCTAGCTCAAAACCCCTTCCAAATAACTTTACCACAGAAGGTACTTGTTCGTGTCTGATACAAGGCAAAAACAAAAATTAGTAAAAATCAACATTAGCAGCAAGCATCTGTAAATCTAGGCCTAATGAATTAAGTCTGATTAATCATAATATGAGATGAACATTTTGTGGACATAAGAATGAACATTATTTTCTAAAAATACCTAGCAAGGCCAGCTAATTCAGATCAGTAGAACCAGTCTTAAATAAAATGAAGGTATACCAGTTAAACTTTTCATAATTCTTACCAGTTTTGAGAATATTGTTCACAAATAGAGTCACATATGATAACAACAAAGTAACAATAGCCATGGTTAGGGTACTATAGACTGTATCTAGTCATCAGAAACACCCGTAATATTAGTTTAGCAATCTCGTAACTACTGTAGACACCTGTAGTGTATCAGTGTAGTCAATGTTCCTTTTTTTTTATATTCCTGAAGACAGATCATGTGTCCATTTCTATTATCTTCTGACTATCTGAAATTTGAGGCATTACTCCATGGTGTTGTCATCGACATCAAAGTGTTTGTCGATCAAATTTTTGTCCGTATCAAATTTACCCCACTCCTAAGCAGGATAACTTACATGATTAGAGAATGTATTTTTCTTGATTACTTAAAAAAATTGATAAATTTTGACCGTTTATACCATCTTTTTATTTCCATGTGAAAATGGTATTTGTATTATTAATGTTTCCTTCATTTCATCACAGAATTCAAGGGGATTTAACCCCATAAAGAGAAGTAACTCCTGAATTTTCTTTTTTCTTTTGTGCATATTTGAATATCTTTTTATTCAAGCATTACCAGTAAATTAAATATCTTCAACTGTTATTTTCAATATTTCAATTTTTTCCCAAACTTATGTTTATACAAGTAAATGTGTTTTTTGAAAAAGGTGCAAAGTTATCTCTATTGCGTAAAATCTTGATAGGAAAAGTTTTGTCACTTTCTTAAAATCTTTTGTGATCCTTTATTTGTGTGATATGGCCAATTTTGTTGATCAACAAATCCCATGTATCATGTTCATTGTATCCTAGAAATCGATCAAATGTTTTGTGAGTAATGAAACTACTGGTAATGTGCTATATCCCACAAGTTATCCCATTCTCACCATCATTTGTTTTATACATGTACATGGCCCAAGATTGTTTTCATCCCTGACTTTTGTTTTCATCTGTGATTGACTGACAAATTTCTAGGAGACCTCATTCTTGCATCTTTGTAACATATAAAGCATGATACTATTGTTTCTGGTGTGACAGGTGACGGATAAGACAGGTTCTACTGTAACCTATTGGCAGTGGTTGTTAAATGTAAGCATGCTCTAGCAGAAACAGGGGAGATAATTAGTTAGAAAACAGCAAATCCTCAAATGTTCTTGGTTAACAAAACCTCAGGTCTTACATGTTTGCTGCCAAATCGTTGTTGGGAATGTTGTGAATGAACGTTTCACGTAGTTCATTCTGAGATCCCTGTAGGCAACATAGGTAACAGTAAATGTAATGTCACAAATAACTCTTCTTAACTTAGGGATGTTTTAGAGTCGGAATTAAAATTGATTACATTCCATATTTTCCATTTTCCCTTTGATTTGAACACCATATAAAAAGTTCTAAACCAACAACTGGTAATTCTCTGAGTTTTACCAGTCGTTAATTGGTTTAACACAATGTATTGAACACTTTTAAAAACTTACTTGAATTTGTTATAAATCATTATGCAATCTCACAATTTGACAATTGAATCCCTCACACAACAATAAAAAACTTTAAACTGTACATATACAACAGAGCTTATTATTTTGTCAATGCCTCCACTAGGAGTCGAACCCAAACCCTCTGGTTTACTAGTCTTACGCTCTACCGAATGAGCTAAAGAGAAATTCTCCCTAGCCAAGTCGGCAGGAAGCGACTAGTATTTTACCAGGGTGACATGTATGACAGTTTTACATTTAGTTCTATAGATAACAGCCCAGCCTACCTTTGCTAATTTTGCCTTCAGTCGTTCCAACTCCATGTTTTTCTCCTTCTCCAGTTGTTCCTTTATCTTCTGAACCATTTCATCCTGAAATATCCCATCAGTTGGAGATTTTATAAAGTGGAATGATAAACAGAAATATCTACCTTAAACTGTTTCCTTTTCTATGGTTCAGTGTTCATCACATGCAACCATATATACGATTCTAATAAAATTTGCTCTGTCATAAGATTTTCAGCATGCACAACTTTTAATTTTTATAGGGTGGCTGATTTTTTAAAAGTAAAACACCGCAAAACATATCACTGTTACATTTCATGCAATCATATCAAACTTAAGACTTTGTAAGGTAAAGTTCATAGAAATTAAAGTTATAGAATTATATCATCTAGATCTAAATTAAGGGATTTATTTACACAATATTGTATTAGTGAAAACTTTTATTTTGATGTCAAAAACTTTTATTACTTCATGCAGGTGTAAGAAAATTGTTACCATGTAATCAAACTGTTATCATGCATGTAATTTGAATTTTAATCTATGCAAAGGAAGTTGAAGACTGTTTTCTTTAAATATGTGCATTGCCAGTTTCATAAAGTTTTATTTTATTTTGCTGACAATCAGTATATATACCCAGATTAAACAATATATGAAAATCACTTCATTGCAAGGAACATTTAATTTCATGATTGACTGTTTGAAATAATTTACTCATGACAGATTTCAATTTTTCATAAGGAAGATTAACAATAAAACTATCTTTGTATCTGTACATTTTTATAAATATTAACACAAAATGTTCATATGCAATCAACTCTCCTTCAGGTATTATTGTAAAAACATTAAAATAGCGATTTAAAAGTGATTTAGTATGCAAACGCAAACTTTACAGATTAAGGATGACAGATGTGTCCCGCATACCTTATCACGCTCCGTCCTCATCACGGAGGACTTTTGACGTGTTAGTTCCTGTTTGAGTTCTTGCACAAGGTTACGTAGCTCCTCATTACATGCCCGTAGGTTAGCCTGTCACACAACACATAAAGCCATGACATCATCACACAAAGGTATGACATCATGATATCAGTATTACACATAAAGCCATGATATCATCACACAAAAGTATGACATCATGATATCGGTATAATACCATAACATCATCGCATTAATTGTTAATTTCACGACAAACTAATCAGGACTAGGTCAGAAATATCAGAACATCACTGCAATGATGAATTGTTTCAAATATGCAATTAATAATTTGAGACAAAGAGAACATTTCTGGAACAATTCAAATATGTTTTGTACGTTGCATTTCTGCCTTTATACTTATAGTAGGGCACTTATATTTTGAGGACTTTCGTGCTTCGCCATGTTTGCCCTATGAAAAATATGTGAATTAAAATATAAACTCTGCAAGTAAGGTTTCTTAAGGATCCCTGTCCCACTGCACTGTGGGTTTTCTAATATACAGCTGTTACCGCCCATTAACTTCCGTTTAGATACATGTAGCTCAGTTGGTAAGAGGGACAGTATAACAATCTGAAGTCCACTGTTCGAACCCTAATCTAGCCCCGCTGAAGTTTTTCCACTTAGAACACTAGCTGTTGTTGACAATATTTAAAAAAAAAAAAAAGTTTCAAACATTAAGTTCATGTTTTTGCCAGTGGTACGGGGATCCTTAAACGAGATTTAGTTAACAATGTTGATTATGCTGATACTATATATAGGAATGTTGACAAATTACTTTTAAAGGGAAATGTTACCCAATAAAACTGTTCTAGGGACAAAACAAAGAGGGTATGTCACTGCTATACTGAGTGTACCCATAGTTTGGCAATATTTCTGTTGAGTTACTTTCGCTTGCTTATGATATTCAACAAATATCTTTTTCATATGGAGGCCACATGACCTATTCCTTGACTAGGTACATTTTGTGTATTATGAAGCACCCAAGTAATGTTTTTGGTCAAGAATGTCTAGCCATTATGGTCATTTCTAAATTGAAAGTAGAAGCTTGTTTACAATAGAAATCAATCAATGTTAAATGTTTAAAAAGGATTAATTAAAGGTTTTGAAAACAGAAATGCATTCAATATCTACAATTTTTCTACAACAAAAAATTAAACAGTTGTAATATAATATTATTAGGTCCTGCATTCTCAAAAAACAAGTCAAGTTCATAACTTAAATTGATTCCTCCTTAACTGACTTTTTGCCAATTTTTTTATTGGGTACCAGAAACAGCGGTAAAAAAATTAGAAAAATGTTTAAATACAAATTCATGTGAAATCTTTTCACAAATTAAAATAAATAAATTTCATATTTTAAGTGCATGCAAATCAATGCTGTTAAGAAAACAAGTATACAGTAAAACCTTGTAATACTGCCACCATTTGTCCAAGTTTTGGCATTATAAAGAGGTTTGACAGTAAGTAGAGAAAAATGTATAAAGGATTTTTTTAAGGAAAACAAGAAAAGGGGATAGTGAAATATGTTGGGGTTTTCACTTTATACAGCATTTCAACTTAAAAATGTTCAATGTTGAAAGTGATCCGAGTCACCCCACAAATAAAAGTAATTATGGCAAAAACTATTTTTTAGGAAATTGTGTCATAACTTCAATTATTTTTTTTGAGAAATCTAGGACATGTTAAGCCTCCACCTGCTTCAAAAGACAGTAGGTTAGATCGAAATACAAAAACATGTGGTTTCTAAAATTTCAATTTCTTGTTGTAGAAGTTCTTTAATTTTTTTCTTCAAATAAAAACATACAGTTTTTCCATGCAATTTAGCAATAAATCAAAACAATTAAATCAGTAAGATTACTGAAAATACGTTATCTCATTTCTAGTAAAAAATCATGCATCTATAAATAAATGTTGACCAGCTTGCTAAAAAAAACATTTCAATACAAAATATTTTTATGAAATATTCAGCATGCTTCTTCATTTTTCTTCTACAAAGTGAAACGTAGACATAAACCTGTATACAATGTATTAATAATGATAATGTACCGAGCGCTATTTACATACGGCGTTGTCTGCCGTGACTACAGATGAAGCGACACAGATGCAGAACAGAGACAGACAGCGTAACCAGGACAGTTAAAACCACCACACTTAATAACAGACCTTGTCAGGACACGACTTGTGAAGACGTACTCATAACAGTAATCTATTTTCAGACTTATTACCTTTTTATTGATTAAGCAATTAATTATCAACCAAATAAAGGAATGAGGATATTACTTTCCCTTTGTAACTTGTTTATTTGACCTTGAATTGTCAACTTCCTCCAAAGGTCAACTTGCAGCTTTGATCTTAAAATGCAAATTTCCAAAGGTCAATTTATAAGCTATATAAAATAGCCAATTAATTAAATGCTAATAAACCAAGGTAAGACTTGTAAATGAAGTTGAAATGCCAATTTCTCAAGATCAATCTACATAAGTTTGACCTTGAAATGCTGAATCCAAGGTCAATTCAAAGATTTTACTAGGAAGAGTGGATATTTCATCTCAAAAGTCCCATTTTTCCATGATCAAGTCAATGCTATACCTTGGGACTTGTATTGAAATAATCATGAAAATGAAAATACGTTTTTGAAATATGACTTTCTATTTTTTACGATAGAAAACACTTTTAACATTTAACACTCGGTGTGGTGGTTTTGCGGTCCTATGAACAGATTTGTATAAACAAACCTCGGTATAGCCATTGTTATACCATCCTTCCTGTTGTACCTGATACAGAAAATGTAACATAAACTGCTTGACCAGGACAATGAGATAAATAAAGGTTAACGCCCTCAGACACAAACATATCAAACTGAGCTTAGAGTACAATAAATCACTTTAAAGTTTTTACTCTTTCCAAACCAAAGTCAGATACTTGCAGTATTCAGTTCAATCTGCTGATTTTCTAATCTTCAAAATATAATCTGTACATGTATGTCAAGTTATGCTAGAGTGTGTATAATGAAATATAGTTCCTTGTGATGAATGTGTGCTACTAATTACCAGACAGAAAGAGGAAATATATAAAAATTGGAAAACTGTTTAAAGGAAATATTTATGTGGTAATTAATATGCCTTATGTCCACACAGACTTAAACAGTGATCGATTCATTGTTTATTCTTGCTGTTTTCCATATTTTGTATAAGTACTTAGATAGTTACATGACCTAAGCCCATGATAACAATAATAGTTAGAACCAAAGAGGGAGAGCATGTGATATAAAATAAGCTTGTGACAATGAATATGTGATTTGTATCTATAATATACCAGGACAGATCTAGACTTGCTCAAGTTAACAATGTAAATGAGATTTGTAGTACATCAAACACTTTTGATAAAACAAAATTTTCAAAGGGAAAAAACTTGGTGGGTTACCTCCCCTTGGTTAAAAATTGCAAGTACATTTTAGATTTTTTAGAAATTGGACATACAACAAAGGAAAGGGGACTTACACATCACTTATAAAGGGTGTTTAGTTATGACTATGAATCATCAGGAAAAGAAAATAATGCATCTCAAAGAGAAGGAAATCAGAGTTATTCAACATATAAAGGGAGATCATTCATCACTTAAATGGGAAGTCATCCATAACAAGGTGAAGGAAGTAATGCACCACTACAAAAAGAAAGGGGAGTAACTTCATCACTTATTTATTGAAACGATTCATCAGTAAAGGGAGATAATTCATGGCTAAGAAAGGGAAGTAATTCATCACAGTTGATAACCAGAGACGACTTGAGCAAACCTAGCTTTGAATTGTGTAATTGATTTTTAATAAATGGTGTATTTTGTGATGCTAATTTAAGCCTGTCAGTGGAGTTACATACCAGGGCTGAGGTAGTTGGTGTTCTGACCTGGCTGTCACCTTGGAAACTGAAAAAAAACACAAAGTAAAAATCAGGATTTTTTAAATCTCCATATCTCAGATATGTCTTTTATACAATTCAGGATATTGCATAAGTTAAGAAACAACATGCAATCTACCTGTAAACAGCTATACTGTTCAAGAAAAAGCATATTTTGTTTTGTTTATTATTGTTTTTGAGTTAAACATTGTTTGGCTTTGAAGGGCCAGTATAACACAGTTGGTAAAAGTAGAACTGACTAAAAGTTTCAGGTTTGATTCATACAAACAAAAGTTAGGCAGTTTGATTCAAACTAACAATAGTTAGGCAGTATGCGGTGTCCTTAACCCTGAGTGGTCCCATCTATAACCAGCGGGCACTAGCTTGCTGGGGTGTAATCTTGTGAAAGGTAGGTGTCCTTCCTGGAGGGAGTCATCTACTCTCAGTTATTCCATACAAACAGACCCCAGATTTTCTATTTTTCTGCACTGACCTTGACTAACCTGGCTATTTTGATCTTCATCTGATTTTCTGGGTTTTAACTTTTCTTGAAAAGATGTCATTGACCTACACTACTATGTTAACCTTGACCTCATTTTTTTACAAGTTTACACATTTTTTGAAGTGATGACATTGTCCTACTTTGCTATGTTGACCTTGACCTAATTTTCTTAGTTTGAACATACTTTTTTAAATGAGGACCTTGACCTACTTTGCTAAGTTGACCTTGCGTGGACCAACACCTAAGACATTTGCTGTTCGGCGACATTCCTCATTGACTTCATTGACAACGGTGCGCTCCATCCTGTCAAGGACCGTAGAGTTCTGTCTATCATGGTGTATCCATTGGATACGCTCCGTCTTCAGCTTCCGTAACTCCTCCTCCTGTTGTCTGACAGTCTCGGTGAGTTTGTCAATCTCCCGCTGGTAATCCTTATTGCAAAGACAAAATAAAATGAAGCAAGGTTGATATATGTACTGATAATCTATCAATGGCTTGAACAACTGATCACAGTAAGATTCAGATTTTAACTTTATTTGTATTAAACACAACAGTGCTTATTTCTTCAACTTTACATTACCCCTGACATATTAAAATGTCCTTGACCTTTCCCTTAAAGGGAGTTTTAAATACATCTCAAAATGTTGATTATGATAATGTATATATTGACCAACCTGTGTCATCTTTTCCTTGACTTTGTCAAAATCTGTCTGCAGTTCATTGCGGACATTTTCTTTGGCCTTTGACACAGCCACCATTTTATCATGCATAGCTTGTTTGTTCTGCTGCTTGCCTTCCTCTAAGTCCTGCAAAAAAAGGTTTTTTCAGAAATCAGGTTAATGTATGTATATAATATATAAACATACAGGGTTTATTACACCTGAGATCAGTGACTTAAATTTGAACATGATGTTTAACCTGTGTTGTTGTAGCTGAATGACCTGTATATCCATTACACTACATGCTGTTCAAGTTATTTCTCCTATATATTCAAAGTAAAATCAAATTTCCCATGTTTCTGTCATTATCTATAGCCAGCTAAGTAACAGATAAAGTGTAATGCCATGATCCTTCCAAAAATTCTTGGTAACGATTTTTGACAAGTTCTTATTTTCCTAAACTGCTAGGTGTCCTGGGTGCTGATTATAGTTTGAAAGACCTAATTTGTCAAATCAAGTTATATTATATACTACGTCTTTTATTGCAGACATCCACCCAAACATCTCAATCCTCATCTTAATTTTTACCCTTTTATCTCTTTTACTGTACATGTTAAGTCAATGTGAACCTCCTCAAAATTTCTTGGTATCAATTTTTGAGAAGTTCTTAATTACCTAAACTGCTAGGTGTCCAAGATGCTGATTACAGTTTGAAAGACCTAATTGATGGTACAGTTCAATATGCAGGTTTCTGGATTATTGAGGGTTTAGTTTAGACAGGTACACTATGTGACAGTATGGTTTAATACACAGGTTTCTGGATTAGTGAGGGTTTAGTTTAGAGAGGTACACTATGTGATGGTACAGTTCAATACACAGGTTTCTGGATTATTGGGGGTTGAGTTTAGACAGGTACACTATGTGACAGTATGGTTCAATACACAGGTTTCTGGATTATTGGGGGTTTAGTTTAGACAGGTACACTATGTGACAGTATGGTTTAATACACAGGTTTCTGGATTAGTGAGGGTTTAGTTTAGAGAGGTACATTATGTGACAGTATGGTTCAATATACAGATTTCTGGATTAGTGAGGGTTTAGTTTAGACAGGTATACTATGTGATGGTATGGTTCAATACACAGGTTTCTTGATTAGTGAGGGTTTAGTTTAGACAGGTACACTATGCGATGGTATGGTTCAATACACAGGTTTCTGGATGAGGGAGGGTTTAGTTTAGACAGGGACACTATGCGATGGTATGGTTCAATACACAGGTTTCTGGATTAGTGACGGTTTAGTTTAGACAGGTACACTATGTGAAGAATTGTATGTACAATTGTACTACAGAAAACAAAACTATCTTCTGTTGTTTATTTATAAATGTTGACTCTTTTTAAAAATGACTGTTAAAAATGTATCTTATGTCTTTTAACAAGTTTCAACAAGACAATAAATTCAAGTAAAACAAATAATTATTTCTGACAACTGAAAAGTTGTAATGAAGTATTTCAACCTTTAACGCTAAATGAATCCATTGTGAAATGACTTAAAACTTTAAAAATACTTAATGGCTTTATCTGTCACAAAGTCATACAAATTATAACATGACAAAGAACTCAGTATCTTAAGAAGGTCAACAAAGGACAAAAAAGTGAAAATAAATGGACTTTATGTGGAGATAACAATGCAAATCTCCCAATACCCATGACAAATATTTGAGATTTAAAGAAATTGAGAAGATAAGAATTGCCCCCGTTGTATTTTAATCGACTGAATTGTCGTGCGTCTCTTTCAATGTAAGTGTGCTGTAAATATTGATAAAATCCATACAAACATTGACAGTTCATTTATAGCACTTTTCTAATCTGTATCTCCAGTAAGCTTGTCCCCTGATCACAATCGTGTGCAGGCTTGTATTTTAAGTGTAATTGATAAGGCACAGTGAATGTAATGAAGTGCCTGGTAAGCAAGTAATTTGTACTGTTTAGCAGTGTTAAATGTCAGGTATAACTTGCATGCATGTAAAGGCAGATTATTGTCCCTATTTTTAAACAAGAATCATAATTATGTGAGTTATATAACACAGTGAAATGTATTAAATCGCTTTATTATACCTCTACTTTATTTACTCTATATAAAAGTAATTGGTTAAATCGAATGTATCCCCACTTTTGCCTGACTGTGTTTTAGTCCTGTGTGTTAGTCTGGGAACTAAACACACTCGGGTGTTTCCACCGAGCCAATCAGGCAAGAGGTGGGCGGAGCTTGTTACTGAAATCGGAAGCGACGCAAGAGGTGGGTGGAGCTTGCTACCGAACTCGGAAGCGACGTGCAAGATGGGCGGAGCTTGCTACCGAACTCGGAAGCATTTGGCTCCATTGCCATCAAAGGGGTAGTTGGGACGTGAAGCTAAACAACTTATGGTTTACAAATATTTTCTAGTTAAAACTATCTCTCCAGTGTGTATCGCTATAATAAAATGGTTAAAGTATGGGTTTGAGTGATATAGCAAGTTTCTGGTGTCCCTTGACCATGCCTATTTCCCTCGTCTTTGCCTCGGGAAATAGACCTGGTCTCGGGACACCAAAAACTTGCTATATCCCTCAACCCCATACTTTAACTGTATAATAATATCACATTTCTACAAATGCATACAATGTATAGGATTTCAGATAAGAGATATGTTTTACATGATATGCAGGCTTTTGTCAAATCAAGTTATATCCTACAAATTTTTTTGCAGGCATCCACCGAAACATCTCAATGTAATTCTGAATTTTTTACCCTTTTATCCTTTTTACTGTTTAATCAATGTGGACCTCCTCCAATATCCTACACCATTTGTTAGTTCCTTCAAAAATATTCTTCATGCTCTTACCCTCCTAGCCCCCCTCAATTTTTATATAATCCTCCATCCAACTTCTTTATTGTTGACCCCCCCCAGTTTCTATACCTTCCCCCTCCCTTCATTATTGTTGTTCCACTGTGCCTCTTCAGTCCCCAAATACATTTCAATTCCCCTAACATCATTTTCATTTGCCCCGACCCCTTCCCACCATCAAAGACCAACTCCTACACTGTTTGTTCCTATCATTTCATTTTTACACCATCCCCGATCCTTAAAATTCCCTTCCTTTTATTTTGCTGACCCCAAACTCTACCCATCACCTTTACAATCATTTCCTTTTATCATTGCTACCTCCCTGTGCTTACTCCCTGTACATGTGCTAACTCCCTGTGCTACATCTCATGCTAACTCCCTCCCTGACACCCACAATCCATTTATATATTTTTTGGTTACCTTAACCCCTACCCTCCACCATAAATGACCAGCAGCTACACTTTCTCTTCCTGTTTGACATATCAGACAGGTCAGGACAAGCAGACATATACAGGTATAACAATAGCATTGTATCTATTACAGTAATTGGCAAGTCTAACCTACTCGGGAGATTTAAACCCATAAATTATAAGTGGGGCCCATATCCTTTTCTCTGATAAAAATTAATACAAAAACATTCCCTGTTACATTAATCTTAACCACTAGCCACCCTAAACTGGTAAGTTATCAACATGGTCAGATTGATACAAAAATGGCTTTTAGTATTCGGTTACACGTGGGGTTATAAACGTGACAATCCCTAAGTGGAATACAAACACGGCAACATTGATCTGGGACTGTAAAACACCCTCAACATGTAATGTCCTCCAAATAAAAACTGAGCTTCTAAAATTCAAGTAATGCCCTTTTCCATTACAATGAGTTAGAAATTTGAAAAGTTGCAGTGAATATGTTGATGACATTTTAAGAAGAGCAGCGACAAAAGTCCCCAATTCTAGTAAATGTCTCATCAAATACCATTTTACTAGCTATTAGAATATTCATTCTACATCTTCTCCACCTTTAGTTTCTATAAGCCCCTATGTTTTATGCTTTTGCTTGAGACAGCTAGGAATTTAAAGAACTTGAACAAATGAAAGGCTAAAGTTTTCGTCTGCTGGATAACCGAACTACTTGGTAGTAAAGCGGATGTAAAACCAATCAGTCAATCGATCAATCAATCAAAGCCCAAACCTGTATTTCACCAGTAATTGGTCAATACTGGGTAATTAGCCACTCAGCCAATGAGATCACAGCAATCATAGGGCATTGCAGAACAGACCTATAGAACAAGCCTGACGATGACACTGATATTTTTAAAAACAATGTTCAAAACTACATGACAAGGGTCTAACAGTATTTTTTGCTTCAAAATACCTGAATTTTGTACAACACACCCACGACTATGTCCGATTCCCCTATTATTATTTTTTATCATAGACCTGTTGTGGGTCTTATGTTAAAAGGAATTAAGTAATCTAAATATGAATTTGACCCATCATTAAACTTGACTTGAGCAAGACACTTTGATTGAAAGCAAGCTTCATCGAAATCTAATCAATCCTTCAAAAGATATCATTTGAAGCTATCAGCAAATCAGATTGCAGCAGCTTCATTAGAAATGCACAAATTGAGCCTGTTAAAAAAACCTTGATTTTGAGTCATTTGTAGTCCATATTTCATGAAAAACATGTTGTGTACCTGTGATGATGTATGAACTGATTCAACACAAGATTTTATCTGGAATATCGTAAATGCATTTAACATGTTTACCGCACTGTTTACTTTGCGTTATTACCTGTTTATTGTCTGTCCAGGTGAAATATGTCATATGTAAAGATAAACAATAAACAATGTAAGACAACAAAGTTATAGCCATACAAGGTGTTAGTCAACAGACCGTAATATCAGCCCATAGTTCCCCAGCAACACTATCTCCTTACTGAATGGCCAAAACTTAACTAAAGCATAGTCAACTTAACACTATACAAACACCAAATTATTGGGGTGCCATGCATCATGTTCTAATTTTATCGAAATATAAATCATTTTGAATTCAGTTTTAATGTAAGGACATTAAATTCTGCTACCTTTTCCTTTTATTATTTGTTCAAAGTTCGTTCAGAATATTCTAATATTTTCAAAATCGTTAAATAGGGCATCTTGACGTTAAGTTGAGCAGTCATTAAAAGGTTGAACAGAGGACTTGGGAATGTAATAATGGCACTACTAAGATTTTGAGTACCTTGCTCTACAACTACATGT